ACGAGATGTTCCAAGGCCCTTGAAGAATTGACTCATATGTTTCGTCTGGCTCGGCCACCAATCATTCTACCCAAGCTGATTGATATTATCATATGTACTGCAGATTGTTTCCGTGTATATTTGGCCAATTTGGGCCATGCATGATATGTATATGTATACATGTAGGCATGCATGATATGTATATGTATACATGTAGGCATATATATATACATATACAGATACACATATATACAGACATACATACATACATACATAGATAGATAGATAGATAGATGCATACATGCATACATGCATACATGCATACATGCATACATGCATACATGCATACATGCATACATGCATACATCATGCATTCATGCATCCATGCATCCATGCATCCATACATGCATACATACATGCATACATACATGCATACCTACATACCTACATACCTACCTACCTACATACCTACATACCTACATACCTACATACCTACATGCCTACATCCTACCCACATACCTACATACCTACATATCTACATACCTACATACCTACATACCTACATACCTACATACCTACACACCTACACACCTACAAACCTACATGCCTACATACCTACATCCCTACATACCTACATACCTACATACCTACATACCCACATACCTGCGTACATACGTACATACAGACAGACAGACAGGCATTATGTGTGTGATGTAATTATGCATTTACACTGCGTCTGTTCATATGTATAGATACAATTGGTGGTTTAATTTTTTGATTTACACCAGCTCTCTACCTTGCTTTTCCCAAGGTCCTGCAGCCGTGTGCTGGGCCGTGCGTTGTTGGAGGCTGGAGACAACAATTAAGCCGCATCTGAGAATTGACGGGTCGGCTGAGTCGGCTGTAAGAAGGGCTTGTTGGAGCGGAACCATCCCTGTAGAATGCACCCACATCCAGCCCCATTTGGATCCAGAAACTCACCTGCACCATCCAGCAACTTGGAAAGGAGAGTGGATCTTGCAACTCGCCCCAAGGCTAGATTTGCTCGATGCGCAGATGTTTGAGACCTTTAAACGGAAGTCAAAGGAGTTGCTATAGGTTTCAGGTGGATTGACTGTGGTAGATCCCAATGGTTTTGGGACAACCATGTTTTGGAGAACGCGAGCATACCAGGCCTTCAAGCCTTACAGATGTGGCAGACTAATTCAGTTTCAAACGCGTTTTCTGGCAGGAAGTGGGATGAAGCTGCGTTTGGGAGGCAGGGCAGGGCCTGGCCCACTGATCCTTTTTGTTGGGAATTCCATTTGTTCAAGGAAAGTGTACCGGGACATACTGGGGCCATCCCCAAGTCTCGACAATTTGGCAGCCGTAGTTGCAGCATGCAACAACCAGGGTCCGGCTGAGGCACCAAGCCCTTCTTCGACCCTGCGTATGGTAGATGGGCCATGCTACCCAGCATAGCAACTCTCACAGAACGATCAGGCAGACAGTCATTGACAGGCACAATTCTGAATTCTCGAGGTTTCTTTCATTAGTTGCGTGCGATCATTGCAGCGCACATATTGCACCAAGATGCGCCAAGGACGCTGGCCCGCAGTTGCTGACCGTGCTACGCTCGCCCAGCAGCATCCGGCCCCAGCTTCATCCAGCATTGCACAGATTTGCACAGCAGATGGAGTTGCAGGATTTGGGGCTCAACAATCTGATGGCGTTCCATTATAATTAATGCTCCATGATCAATAATTAAATTACGTGTGCTTCAAGCCACTCTTTTGTATTCTCCTGCCGATGTGTCATCCAAAGCATGCACTTCGTGAAAAAGTTTCATGTTGAAAACCATCTCAAGACGCCTTGGCCGCGGCATTTTTTTATACCCAAGGCTCAGAGTTGCAGAGGGTTCAACGGTTCAGCTCTGGGGTTTGCTTACCAGAATTCGTTTGTCCAATGGCCCAACATACAGCGAACAGATGTTTACTCCCATACCTCGGAAGCTGCATACATCACACATGTCATGTCCACTATGAAAGAGATTGATATGTGTGTTGGCTGGTCTTTTGGGCTTGCTTTTTACCATTGTGTTGAGAAATCAGCGGCAAGGCTTACTTGCTGCAAATATGAGCAGCAAGCACTCCTTATCACACATAGTCTGCAATTAGCCGCTTACATGCTTTGATGCTCTATTGCTAAGGCCAGCTGTCAGGCGAGCTTGAAAAAATCCATGGTGGGGCAAGTGCTGACATTTGAGGACAAAATCCTTGGCACAGTTGAGGGAGAGGGTGGCCATGGGTGACCAATCTATGACTGAAATTGGCTGACGCTGGGAGGTTGATTACCCTAGGTGGTGGTTCAGTGAGCGGGTGGAGATTCAGGTTGTGGGGCGTATCTCTCGTATCATCTCGTATCTCTCCTGCAAAGCAATTGAATGCAAAGGTGCGCAAGTCTCGCTAGGTCAGCAGTCGGTTGCAGCAGTTGCAGCAGTTGCAGCCTGAAAACCTGCACCTGAAATTTACTGCAGACCTCGCCGCACTGTATTACGGTGTGGGAAGTCTGCAATAAGATGCAGTTGCAGGTTTTCAGATGTTTTCAGTAGATAGCCTTGCGGACCTGCGTGCAGAACGATGGATGATCGGGTAATGGTAGCCAGGTGTATTTTGGAAAGTGCAGGCAGCTACTTGCGCACGGGATTCCTTTAGGCTCAGGGACAAGTCATGAAGATTCATTAAGTATATCAAGTGTACAGATGCGCAGATGAATTTCTTCGCCATATAGCCACGTGGCAGAAGAACCCGGGGACTGTGTCACGTTTCCTGCAAAGCAAAACATGGCAAACATCGCTTGTAGAGAAAAGATACCAGTAGAATGTGAATAAAAGCAGGGCAGAGATGGTTGCTGGGGAAAGGATGCAGCGTTGTTTTGCTTGAGCTTAGGCAACCATCTGGCAGTTTGTGGTTGGTTAAGGTGTAGTGCAACTAATCCTTCCAAGTGACCAAGGCCGTGTGCTGGAGGTGAACCTGGATCACTGCAGTTTCCCGGAGGCGGCTGTCTCCAGCTTGGCACGGCGCGGCAGCCCGGGATCAACCAGCGGTTGATCAGTTTCTATTCAGTGATGGTCAGTGGACAATGGCTTGGAACTGTTGCGAATCCCGGTTCCTCCGAAAAACGTTCCAAGCGACTCACGAACTTCAGGTTTGCTCTGAAAATGACCTGATGCGCTGAGCAAAATATGAATGATGCTGTGATTAGATCATTTTGGTGCTGAATTCTCATAGCAACATGTGGGCGAAACGGTAGCTTGTTGAGAAAGTTATGACACATCGCTGAGGATTTGCCTCAACGTCCGCAGCTTCTCGCTCTGCAATTGTGATGGAGCAGAAGGCCGGGGGTTTGGGTGTCATCGCAGTGAGCCAAGGGCCACATGCTGAAAACCCCTGCGCCAGGCACTTTGGGCCAAAGTTTTGTGGTACACCTGGAGGAGTGGGCGATAAATTGTAGATGCTATTGTTTCATCCTGTGTTCATGTTTCTTTTCCATTCCTTTCCTATTTTTCTCTATTTGTCCTGTCATTTGATTGTGGGCAAATTTAGGAAACCACGACAGCGAAGATTGGGGCAGCAGATTCCCACCTGTTTCTGTTTGCAAGACCCAGCTGCACAGGACTTGACCCGTGGGCTGTGCCGGAGAAGAGGTTACAATCGGAACCCCACTCGAGCATTGCTGGCAGCAGACACACCCCACGTTCGAACACCGCTTGAACATGTTCGAACATTGCCAACATTTGCAATTCTGAGATGGTAAAATCACTCTTTTGACATGATTTACATGATTTTAGGGCGAAATGGAGCAGGTCCGAAACAAGACATAGGATGAAATGGGTACAGATGCTCGCTGGCCAGGTGCAGACCCGGATGCCTCCTTGTCCTCACCCAGGGCATCGGAGTATTCCCATACCCCTGGCAGTCAGGCACTGATTGGATGTGAAGCGTTGAGGAAAAAATGTTTGCCTTTCTAGCTCTTCTTTTTTGCAATAAGATCAACAAGGTTGTTCATCAATGATCATCAATGTTCATCTTGTTCTGAACAGTATCGTTGATATTTCGGGAGATTTTGGGCATTCACGGTGCAGACTGCTGGGGCAAAGGGATGCAGAGGGTACGTGGCTCAGTTTCAATGCTGTGACCCAAAAGCAACAGCCCGTGTAGGCAACTCGCACTCGCCCGTTTGAAGCTGAATCGGGGACATTGGGCCAGTTGAACCCAGGGAAAGCCATGAACGAAGCATCCGATATGGCGGATAGTTTCTACAATAGCCCGCAATAGCCTCCAATAGCATCATTAGCCAAGCATAGAGATTTTGATTGATTTGTGACAGCAGTGTTCCTAGCAGTATCTAGCAGTGTTATTTGGGGCCCATAGTGGAGTGGTGCCCCGTACCGGCAGGAGAAATCGCTGGTCACACATTCTGGTGATAGATATCCTGGGGTGGGTACAGGGTCACCCCCAACAATATCTTCATGACCCCAAGGGGTGCCATAAATTCTTATAAACCATATAAACCTATGATACACCTATCAATATGTATAATATTCTATATATATATATATACGTGTGCGTGTGTGTGTGTGTGAATGTCTTGTTTTGTGCAATGCATTGGGCATGGTTGAGTGACGGTTGCTGTTTCGGCTTAGCTGGTGTTGGCACCCCAATTTGGCCCAGTCGGTGGTGCAGAATCAAGAAATTGAAATGTGACAGGATGATGATGCTTCTGAGTGGGATGGATCAGCAGCTCTGACACCATCTCACACCCTTCCACCTAAGGCTTTTGCACGCTTGTAAAGTTTGGGACATCCCTGAACATCTCTGAACAGCCCTGAACCATTTCGAAGCAGAAGCCCACATTGTCAAAGGAAACATCCTGCAGCCAAAGTACAAAGAGTTGGCCAGGACCAGGACGGTCGACTTGATAAAATACACATAAATACACCGTAGGCTCATTTGTGTTCACTGCTTCATTGGTAGCCTGGCATGTTACGGCAAGCCATGCTGCCGTGCTGCTTCCAGAATCCCTTGCGCCGCAGGCCACCCAAGAGATATACCCGCGATGACCCCCATGGCCAAGTTACATATTCATTACATATTCATGTTTGGCTACAGATGTGTGGCTCTTTTAAACATGTTTAAATGAAGTTCCCAATCTTTGTCAGGAATTGATCGAAACAGATCGGCCATGATCGGCCTAAGATGTTGCAGATTCCTGGCCTGGGCTGTCATGATTGCAGGTCACCCGCCAGCTGGGTGCTACTTGGCCTGGCCCTGTCTCGATTCGCCAGCACCTTTGTGAGTACCGTGGCACCCGTGCAACGGGCCAAGTGGCCATGGCATGAGGCAGAGAGCAAGGCAGGGGACATTGCAACTAGTATTGACGTGGTGTTTCTTTGCGCCGATAGTGATAAAGTAAATCCATGTAAATACTGTAGTCACTTGGTCACGGTCGTCGACATTAGTAGTAAGTAGTAAGCATGGCATGGGGGTTCCCAGGTCCTTAAATCAACATAAATCCGTCTCCAACTGGAACCGTCTCTGGTTGTTTTCCAAGCCACCACGGGTCCACAATTCAGAGGCCGCTGGCTCGGTTTGTTGTGGCGGTCTTACAGGTACGATTGCTGAGCAGCGTCCAGACCCTTCAGAGCAACGTTAGAACTTTGAGTCAGGCGGCTGGGGTAGGGAAGCTGGCTGACATTGGCTGGCCACTAAGTTATTATCACGAAAGGTGCCTTGCCTGAGTTCTTTATGCTTTTAGCACCTTGTGGAATGGGAGAGCGCTTTTGAATTGAGTTATGGTTGTTTTCAAGTGATTCAGAAGGAACACAGGCTGAAATGATCTGAAATACCAGTGCTGGCATAGACGAGATTGGTGAAGCTGGGGAAAACACTGGTTATAGTAAATTGGGCTGGCCCTAGATACACGCCAACCTCTGTGTGTGTGGCCGGCCTAGTCAATCTTTGCAAAAAGGAAGGGTCAACGAACCGGATGAGAGGATGAGGAAGAGAATGTTGGCATGCTGAAAGAGACAAAGACTTGATAGATTATAGTTAGGGCAATGTAGGCTCTGGAAGGTACGGGGCAGTTGTTGGGATGCACACAACTGGCTTGATGAAACCTGTCGCTTGGCCTTTTCCATCAGTATTCCATGTTCAATGACTGACTCACTTCTGCTGAAACCACAAAAAGTCCCCCCGCAGCGCATGTCACCTTCCACAACTTGAATTCCCTCTGTGGCTCTCAAGTGTGTTCATAGTATGTTGTTTGTCCATGTTTGTCCCTTTTCTCTTCTTTCATTTCCGATTTACTGTTTTTCCTACAACCAAATGGCCAGGAAAAAAATGGCCAGGAAATCTACTGTGTTCCCGGTTCCCTTTTCTCTCCACTGGATTTCCCGGTTTTTCCAGTTTTTTTTTCCAGTTGTTTCCTTGATTTCAGGAATGTCCAGTCAAGGCTTGCAATACGAAGATAACACATCATAACACTAGATTTGGGACATGGTGTGCTCATTTCTCTTTCGGTTTTTGCAAGTTCAAGATAGAATCCGTTTATATTGAATATGTTGGTGGGTTTTACGTTTACACGTACTCGTAGCATCACATAACAGCAGTGTTGCCAGGAATCTTCACTGGTTAGTCATTCTAGTGCTTTCAGGGTTCATGGTGCCTTCTTTGCTATAAATATCTTTGCTTCAGCATCCATAATTATAAGATTTCAAGTGCCATTGCATCCTACCCACACTCAAGGACCTGATGTACTGCGTGTGTTCTTGTGTTTTTGCGGATGGCATCAAAGATAGCGGCAAATACAATAATAGTGCCGATAAGGCATTGAGCACACAACGGCTTCGGGTTTGGCCCGGTTGTGTTCGACAGCCCCACCTAGCACTGGATTGTTTCCAGCTAGGCGAGTCTCCAGTTCCAAACTTCTGAGCTCTTCAAAGCTGCTCTGCTTGCAGCTGCTAGCGACTTGGAGGGCGCCACGCTGGACCCTCTGGTGACCACAGCAGATCCCCGCTTTGGGGATTACCAGTGCAAACTTGATGAAATTTAGCTGGTGACATCCGGTGACATTGGAGCAGACAGAGATCATGATGAATCCATATTCGTTTTCCCATCAGGCTTTCATGTCCCATTGAGTGTGGGCATATGTGTTCGTAGTCCTTGGACTGAACTGCAACCAACCTTGGGCATAGCAGCTCATGTCACTTGGTTTTGCTTGTTGCTCTCTTATCAATGATTGACTTTCTTGCTCCGTGGCAGATTCACATGCTGACTGCTTGCTCACGTGCTGACTCACGTTCATACGCTCTTACTTTAGCATCAAGAACCAGGCAACAATGCGATGTCCCTTTTCAAGCAGAGTAAGCAACAAGGTGGCAAAGATGGTTGGAAACTTGACCAAAATTGGCCCTGTTTCGTGCTTATCATCATGCTGATTTTTGCGCAAGGGCAAGTTGCTCATGTGTTTGTAGCTACTCCAAATTGCACACAGCCGCCAATCGTCGCACATGCCAACGTGTTGGCTTTCCATTGGTCAGCTCAACATGCTCAGCCGAGGAAAAGCCCTAGAGACGTTGGTCAAGCCATTAAAGATGCTTTGCCGGCGGAAGCTGCTGAGCTATTTGAAGAGGCTATCGATTTTGGGAAGGGGCCACTGTCATTCATGTCACTAGTTGTATGATGTTGTATGTGCATATAGATGTGTATATAATAATTATATATATATATATACGTCACTTACACTTCAAGTATCTTCAACTGGCATCCAAAGCTTACTCTGACCTCTGGCTCAAGGCGCCCAAGGTGAGCTCTTGAGCTAGTGAAATCAGACAAATCATCGTAGCATCCAGGTCACCATCCAGGTCTCAGAGCTGAACTCTTTTTGCACCATAGCCACATATAGGATTGATATAATATATGTATATATACACACACTATATATATATATTATATCACATAATATATATATATATACACATATGTCTGTGTGATATATATATAGGATAATAATAGCATTGTAATAGCATATATATATACTTTTCCATTAGCTTGTCATTAATTAAGACGGTACAGCAGACTTGGCGTTGTGGCTTCTGACATCCATTGAGCACATGCCATCGCTGCCATGGCTGTCACGGGACACGGGCCCATTCCCAATACCTGTGAGACTAGCTGGTGACAAATGTTCCTTCTTCATCTTCTTCCACAAGGGCTGTTTGAGTGTTGCAGCTCCACTTCCAGTGGGAAGCCTGAGTTCCTGGAAAAGGAAAAACTGGTCACAGCCAGACCGGCTACTAACTTGCAGCTGAGCTCCAGTGGTAGCTTAGATCTCTACTTTCAACGCTGGGAAAGCGACAGACGTCAGCGAGTTCGCGCTGTGGTGTCTCGCATGCAGATTACTCAAGGAGAATGTAGGGCAATGTGCTGGAAATGTGCTTGAGCTTGAACACATGCCTTGAGATCTTGTTGTGTGTGAATTGTTTGATATGTCGTATTTGAGATTGTTGGGAATATGAAATGATTTGTTCTCTGGGTTTTGCTGTGTGATGCTGCGTGCACTGTTCGTGTGCGTCCACGGCCACAATTTCGCAGCTACCGAAGTTTGGGTGGCCTTTCTAACACGAGGTTTTCATCCACCCTGGAGAGACTGACCATGCCACCTGGTACAACGTGTTGGCCGTGCGTTTGGCTTCGCTGGGCTGCATGTCATTGGCGATTGACGTGCAGGGCTTCGGTCAATCCGACGGAGCCCGTGGTTATTTTGAGAGCTTCGAGGAGGTCAAAGAAGATTTCATTTGCAGACTGCGATTTGCTTTAGAAAATAACAGTGATTGCTTTAGATGTGATTTTATATTTTCGACCGCAGAGCAACTTCTCTGATACAGAAGGCACATTCTTGGGACACGACAGAAACATACAATAACATGTTTGAAGAATATGGTACTCGTATGTACTCATTGAGTCTACTTTCAGCAAAGCTTTATGCTATATAAATCCTTCCGAATCCTCCATTTCGAGAACTCCCAGACAACGACAAACAACACAGCAACTTGACAGCCTAGGCCTCCGAGTGATTGATCAGATTTGCTTGAATGTAGAATGTAGATGTTACATGATGTTACGCAGTGTTGGGTATAGCATTGCATTACCATATTTCCATATATTTCCATATATGTGCATATATTTGCATATGTTTGCATATATTTGCGGTATTTGGATCGTTTGTTTTTGGTGTCGTTTCTAGTTCGCGTAGACAATGTAGCCCAGGCTTTGTGAGGGCCAAGTGGTTGGCCATTGTCCAGAGCCAAGCAGAAGTTCCTGGCCTGGTTTTTGTGGCAAAGGGCTTTGGTAACCTGGCAGCACGATGCAGATCGATGCAGTAGGCAAATTCCATTGGTTGGAAAGAAAGAAAGATGCGCAGCATTTGAATGCGATATGCTGGACAATTGTTTGAGAAGAAGGCTAAACACGAATTTGTTTTGCGAAAACATAGCTAGTGGCTCAACGGATCTCAAGAGAACAGACCAAAATTCATCAAAATTCAAAGCCCATTCCATTTTACAAGGCGCTTTGCTGCTGTTGCGAGCACTTCCGGAGATCAAATCCCTGGCTCACGAGACTGGCACGGTGCCGGTGCTGGTGCTGCTCTCGCCTGGCCTGCAGTTCAACAGCTTCATCGGGGACCAGGGGAGTGTCACTGGAAGTTTGCATTGAAGGGGCAGGGTGTGGCGCCGAAGCCGAGAAAAGGCAATTGAAAAGGTAGTTGTCAGTTGTGGTAGTTTTTTGGGGTATAAACAGTATATTGAAATCATTCAGCGATCTGGAGACAGGCTGCAGCCACGGCAACTCCAAATTCAGGTGAGCTGCGGCTTGAATTCCTCTCAATGTGCCACGCAGCCTTTGGCGCAATGCGCTAGAGCCCCCATGTCCTTGGGACCTGCTGGCGAGGGTCAGACTCTGGAGTATCTTGACTGGACCAGGTCCCTAAATCCCTAAAAGGCAGTGAGAACATCGCTTAGTTTTCCATAGTTTTCCGACATTTCTCCCTTTGACTGCTGGATGGGATGTGTTTGAGGGAGATGCTAGACTCGGCCAAATTAAGGTCCAAGTAATGAAGGAAACTCGCGAAAACTCCAAACCAGTTGACTCTTATTGGTTGATGATGTTGATGGCTAAGCCTGGAAGTACAGTGCGGGCTTTTGTGGGGATTATTATCATCGTCGTCGTCGTCATCGTCGTCGTCATCATCATCCTGCATTTGAAAAAAGCAAACATACAATCAGAATAATTCTTGGTGGCGTCGCCGAAGATCCGAGTGTAGGGCGCAGTCAAAAAATCAGCATAATTCTTCCCAGAAGATATAATATGCATACCATAATTTGGATACATTTATAATATAGTGTTTACTGTTTATGTGTGTTTGCCATGAATGGAAAATATTCCAGCTGTGGATGTGGTAACTGGCTCCTTTGGCACTTTGCAGGTACCTATCCCGCTGGTTTCCCAAGATGCTGGTCACGGACCCTGTGGATCCTGACATGGTCTGTCGTGATCCACAGGCCATTGACCGCATGAGCAGAGACGCTCTAATTTGGCGCCAAGGCCGCTTGGTGGCACCCAGTTGGAAGACGTTTGTGGTTGGAAGTCTGGTTGTGAAGGTCCAGGTGCCAGCTGTGACCGATGTCAAAGGTCACGGTCCCTGTTGTCCCTGACAACTTACATTCAAGGCTACAGGGCTCGCGTTCTGGCGGAGATCCTACAGGAGCAATCAAGGCCCTGCTCAAGCGAATGTTCTTTCCTTTGTATTGAAAAGACATGAAATGAGCACACAAATCAGATCAAATCAGCATGAATCTGGATTCACTACGTCACTAGGTTTTTGTATATATATATATTATATAATATATATATATAATAATATATATAATATATATAATATATATATATCATGTTCTTGGCCGGGCCGTTGCAATCAGTTGAGGTTGAAAAATAATTCCATGTCTCATTGCATCTGTTGAAATCTATTGTTCAACTTCTGTGCTGTCAGCCCATACAGGTTGCCTGACATGATCGAGCAAACACCCGAAGCCTTCTCCTGTCCTGCATTGATTCTGCATGGTAGCAGCGACAAGCTCTATTCTGCACAAGGAGCCTTTGCTTTGGTTGCTAAATTGGTATGTGACATTGTGTAATATCTAGCCTGCTCCTCTTTGAAGGTAAATGTTAATCTTGCAAGTAGACTATACCAAAAAAAACACTATGCCCAACCAGGTGTTTTACTGGCACCTATAAAGCAATCCATGATGGGGCCCTCGCCTGCGCATGTTTCAGGAAGCCATGCTGTTCATCGTCTCTGGTGCCAGAATATTCAGGGGGGTGACGCACCTGGCAGCTTTCCAGTTCTGAAGATCTATGATGGTGCCTACCATCAGCTACTAAATGAGCCGAATCGGGATGAGGTCATCAGTGATATCATTGCCTTTGTTCTGTCAGGAATTTGAGATATTTGAGTAGATAGATAGATTACATGTGGTGTGAGAGCAATGCTTCTCTCGCACCCTAGTTTCTACCGTTGGTAGCTTGGAAGCCGCTCATCGCGGGCCAAAAATATACCAGGCTACAGGACTATCTTGCTCCTGTAGCATGCTCATGCCAAAGACACGACACCTGTGCCGCTGTCAGTGTTCAATAATTGAGAGAGTCATGGGAAAGTGTGTTGGGATGTGTTGGTTACGGGTGGGTCAGCGAATGATGTAGGATAGGCATGCTGCCCCGCTACCTTTGACAAGAAGCAAGCATGTAGTTTGTTGTGCTCGATGCCAGGTCAATGTCGCACCTCAAGGCTTCATCACCATAAAATTGAAAACATCTTGGATGCAGGAGAGAGGGGCCAGGGAGTTTATATTCAGGTAGCAAGTCAGACCCGAGGAGTAGTTGGAGCCAACCACAGGACTCAGAGCAGTTTGTGTCTCTATCTAATTGGCACTGTCGCGACAGTGCATTGTATGTTACATAATGTTCCATACATACACATACCAAGTTCGGCCAAAAGATAAGGACTGGCCTGGCTCCCAAGCAATGCTGAAGCTGCAGCTGTGCTTGCACAGTCAGAACCACTTTCACACCTCTTGCTTGGCCAATGGAAATGCATTGCAATTTGCTGTCATCATATCACGATATTTGTGCGCGCTTAATTTTGCACTATTTTATTTTGAAGAGAGAGATCATGAGGACTTCTGCAACATCAAGATGCTATTGGCACAAGCAGTGAAAGGCACATTCTGCTGGTCCCAAAAGTCTCCATCCCAATCCATCCCAACTGGACTTTGTTTCCTGCCTTGGCAAAGGAGCAGATGGGAGATCTATTTGAGCATGAGCTTCAGCTGAGAAGCAGCAGTCCTCAGAGGATCGTCATCGACTACTCCTCACCCAACATCGCCAAGGTTGGCCAGAACTGCGGTGGTGGATTGTGGCTGCAGGGGTGCTATGCGTGTGTATGGAAGTATTAGAGTTGGTCGTGAGAAATTGGCAGATCATTGACATGGACATCATTGGCATTGCAATAAAAATTACATAGAAATACTATATATGTTACCATACTATACTCTACACTAGATTATGTTCTTTTTAGTTATCTTAATTCAATGTCTAATAATATTAATAATATAATTCTATATAGATATAATACTTGTGTATCTATATATATATGTGTGTGTAGTTCCCCCATTTCGACTCAGTGGTCAGCCAGAAGGATGCTGGTCAGCTTTCTTGGTCTTTTTATTTTCCTCAGCTTTCGTGAGGAGATGCATGTGGGACATCTTCGTTCCACCATTTTAGGGGACACCGTCGCCAACCTCTTCTCCTATTTGGGTCATGATGTGGTGCGGCTGAACCACGTGGGTGATTGGGGCACTCAGTTTGGAATGCTGCTGGAGTACATGCGCCGAAAGGACAGGAGAGTGTGGCTTTTCAGCGGGACATGGGGCTTGATGGAAATTTAGAATGTACTGCACTTAAGTTGGATCAGTTGGATCCTAATTCCTTTCGTCAACAGGGTCAAAGGCAGCACGGACCCAGAAATTAAGGAATGCAAACGCAAACGGTTTCTTTCTGACCACCGTAACCATGTCTAACAGGATCCATTCAGAATCATTCTTCCGCAAGCTGAAACTCTATAGACTCCGTCTGAATTCCTTTACTGCACCGGCATCTCGATTTTTTGACCTTTTTTTTCAGACTGCTGGCTTCTGGTCTCACAGGTCTGTTCCTTTTCCATCTAAAAATCTTCAAGATGGGTTGATCCCAATCAAGCAACCATAGCAACCGATTTTTGGGACTTTGGTGATCATGGGTTGAAAGCTGAAAGCACCAAGCAATACCAACCCATCTTTGAAGGACGCCCTGGATGGTGAAGCCTCCATGGTGAGTGATCTGCAGCAGTTTTACCGAAGTGCCAAGCAGGTCAACATGGGGGCAGCTCCAAAAATAGATCCAACTTCAGCTGGAACTTGTCCAATTCGGCAATCCTGTGTAGCTGCTGCAAACCCTTGTTTGGTCGGTTGCATTTGTGCCTTCTCAGCGGGTTTCCCGTAGTTAGTTTGAGCTTTGCCCCTGATTCGGATGGATTTCGACAAGCACCCTGAGCAAGAAACCATGCCTCCAGGCCTTCGACGAAGATGAGGACTTCAGAAAGTCCGCCCAGACCAATGTGGTCGAACTGCAAGGCATGGGCACAGAGTGCCTGAAAGAAACGCCATCGACTCCTGATTCCTGATAGATTCTCTGGATGAGACAAAGGCTCTAAGTGACACAAAGGGACGTGATTTGATACAAAATAGCAAACTAGACAAATGTTTAACCAAGAACTATAGCAAGTGGTCATTCTGCCCGGCACGTGTGGACCTATGCTTGTAAGTGGCCGGCTTGGCATTTTGGACGGGGAAGTTCCGGCATCCATTTGCTAGAGGCGGCTCCGAGTGGGCGCGCACTGCTTGGAACCGCATTTGTGAAGCCAGCCGCAAGGAGTTTTGCCATTGCCTGACCTCAAGAAAATGTGAATACCAATATGCCAAATGGTGCGGATTCTGATGTGTTCTAGAAATCTTGTGGGCTTGGCAGAAAGTTTGGGGTTTTTGATGGCTTTGGACCTGTGATGGGTTTGTTCCCACTGGACTTTGGAGATGACAAGGAGTTTGACCTGGTCTATCAGCGCTTGAACATCGAGGGCTTGCAGGAGCCGTTTCCTGTGCCATCCAATGATTTGCAAGCCAATGACAGAAGTCAAAACAAACTTCTTCCCACCAGTAATATTCCATGATCATCCATGTGAAGCTCCGTTTCGCCTGCAGCTACACTTTCCACAAGGAGCGGGGCGAGTCGTTCTACAACGAAATGCTGCCAGATGTGGTCGAAGACCTCCAGAGGCCAGCACCGAATGTCATGGATGCCACGTTTCTTCCAGCCCTTTTGATTTCCTTCATCCACAACTTTGGAACGATTCATGGCATCTGCATTCACTGCATTGAAACGATGTAAAATGTCATGAGGGTTGGAACTTTATTACTGAAGATGAGCTGTGTCATTTTCCTGGAGGAAAGATACAGCACCAGTACGCTGGCTAGGTTTGCGAACATGTGTTGATCTTTTGTGATTTGCTACGAGTGGGTGTTTTTGTTGCATCAACAATTTATTGGTGATCTCATGCTGCTTGTGAATGGACTGGATCAGAGGTCTGTAGATGTCAATAGATTGAGTTTTGGGTGTCCGCTCCTGCTAGAGGGCCCAAGGCTCAAGGTTTGTTGATGTTTGTTGAATTAAAGCAGTTTCATGATATTGTTTCACTAGGTAAGGCCGGGTGGCTCCATGCCAGGATGTTTTATCATGGGTCTCACGAGATTTCTCTCGAGTTACCTTTCATACTGTAAATATCTTGTTTGGCCGTGCTCGCATACAGGGATCCAGCAGAAGCATGCAGAAGCCAGATTTGCTGATGGGTATGGGCGCGTGTTGCGTTGTGAGTTCTGATCCCTCAAGCGACTGCACAGGAAGAATCTGGTGACAGAGAGCGATGGCGCTTTGTGTGTCTTCACCAATGTCTCAGAGACGCCCTTGATCATTCAGAAAGCCGATGGCGGTCACTTGGTCACAGGATGGGTTTGTTCACTTGCCGTATAGTAAAGTTGATTGCCCAGGATTATGCAATGTTTGGGCAGGGTAAACTGTGACTTGACAATACAGTTCGGGCAGGCAATGGTGGACATCAGTTCATGTTGGCTCCCAAATTGCCAAGGCTTTGGCTACGATTCCACAGACTGCGCTGCGGTGAGGCATCGGGTACAAGATGAAAAGGCGCAACGAGTGATCTATGTCATCGACAATGGCCAGGACGGGTTAGATTTGAGGGTTTGGGACCTTGGATGCGGATGTTATGTCGCGTTATGCATATTATGCTATATAATGCTATATAGTCATCAGATGTTCCGCCCGGTCAGCTATAATGAAGGATAGTGATGGTGACCATATAGCTCAACTGTTCACCAGCTGTTACCATCGCCAAGCGAAAGGAGCTGCACATGCGAATGGTCTTCAGTGCCGCAGAGAAAGCTGGATGGCTCGGAGAGGGCCAGAAACGTTTGGACTTCATGGGCTTTGGGCTTGTGCAGGGCCAAGACGGACCCGCGGCGTTTCAAAAGGGAAAGCGAGAGAAGGCCACAATTGCCATTTCAGGAAATCAAACCGACATTGTGGGCGCAGGAGGTGCGCAATTTGATTTTCGAAATGTCAGCCACTTGCAGCCACTTGGCAGCCACTTGCTCAGGCAGCCACTTGGCAGCCACTTGCTCTGGCACTCACTTAGCAGTCACTTGCAGCCACTTGGCAGCCACTTGCTCTTGCAGCCACTTGGCAGTCACTTGCAGCCACTTGGCAGCCACTTGCTCTTGCAGCCACTTGGCAGCCACTTGCTCAGGCAGCCACTTGGCAGCCACTTGCAGCCACTTGGGGCAAGTGTCTGCGAGTGGCTGCCAAGTGGCTGCCTGAGCAAGTGGCTGCCGAGTGGCTGCCAAGTGGCTGCCTGAGCAAGTGGCTTGCAGCCAGTGGCTGCCAAGTGGCTGCAAGTGACTGCCAAGTGGCTGCCAAGTGGCTGCCAAGTGGCTGCCAAGTGGCTGCAAGTGGCAGCTTGTGGCTGCAAGTTGATGCAAGTGGCAGCAGCCATCTGATACACAGTCCCGGCCTATGCGACACAGATCACAGACCTTGCAAAAACAACTTTAAACAAGAACAACAACAAGAACAACAACAACAACAACCACAACCACAACCACAACAACAACAACAAGAATAAGAATAAGAAGAAGATGAAGAAGAAGAAGAAGGCAAAGAGCAAGAACGAATAGAACAAGGAGAACAATGAGAACAAGGAGAGCAAGATGGAGAACCAGATGAAGAACAAGAAAAAGAACCACAACAAGAGCAAGAACAAGAAACAGAACAAGATCAAGAACAAGAAGAAGAACACAACCACAAAAACAAAACTAAGAACAAGTCCTTAAGTAAGAACAATCATCTGGGCTGCTACCGTGTAAGATTTTGTCCTTAACTTGCAAATCTTTGTTGCTACGAAGTAAGATCTTGTCCTTAACCTTCAAACATGTCGGATGCTACGCTCTAAGATTCTGTTTGTCTTGTCCCTAACCCTCAAACATGTTGGATGATACGCTGTAAGTTCTTGTCCTTAACGAACAAGAACCAGAACAAGAGCAAAAATCACAACCACAAGAACAAGATCAAAAGCAATAACCACAACATCAACAACAACAACAGCAACAGCAACAGCAACTACAGCAGCAACAACAGCAACAACAGCAACACCAAAATAATAAATACTTAAACGACAAGAGCAAGAACAACAATAACAACAGTAATGACAAGAACAAGAACGAAAACGAGAACAAGAGAAATAATAGCAAGTTCTTGGAAGATCTGGATGCTACCCAAGAAGATCTTGTCTTGAACTTTCAAGCATCTTGTATGATTTTGGTTGCTATGGAGTAAGACTTTATCCTTAACATTCAATGATCTTGAGTGCTACGGTGTAAGATCGTGCTCGTGACATTCAATCATCTTGGACGCTACGCTCGAAGCGCTTGTCCTTAACTTTGAACATCTTGGATGATATACTCTAAGACTTTGTCCTTGAATTACAAACATCTTGGATGCTTCGCTGTAAGACCTTACCCTTTATTTTCAATCACCTTTTATGCTACGGTGTCAGATCGTGCCCTGAACTTTCAATCCTCTTGAATGCTACCGTGTAAGACTTGTCCTCAACATGTTTGCTGTAAGGGAGTGTTGGATGGTACGCTGTAAGCTGTTGTCCTTAACCTTCAAACATCTTGGATGCAAGCATGTAAGATCTTGTTCTTAAACTACAAACATCATTTGGTGCTTCGGCGTAAGATCTTGTGCTTTCAAACATATTGGGCGCTACAGAGTCAGATCTTGTCCTTAACTTTCCATCATCCTTGATGCTTCGCTGTCAGATCGCAGCCTGATCTTGCAATCATCTGGGATGCTACCGTGTAAGATGTTGTCCTTAACTTGCAAATCTTTGTTGCTACGAAGTAAGATCTTGTCTTTAACCTTCAAACATGTCGGATGCTACGCTCTAAGATTCTGTTTGTCTTGTCCCTAACCCTCAAACATGTTGGATGATACGCTGTAAGTTCTTGTCCTTAACGAACAAGAACCAGAACAAGAGCAAAAATCACAACCGCAAGAACAAGATCAAAAGCAACAACCACAACATCAACAACAGTAACAACAACAACAACAACAGCAGCAGCAGCAACAGCAACAGCAACAGCAACAGCAACAGCAACAACAGCAACAGCAGCAACAGCAACAACAGCAACAACAGCAACAACAAAATAAATAATTAAATATTTAAATAATTAAAAAATTGATGAATTAAATAATTAAACGACAAGAGCAAGAACAACAATAACAACATTAGCAACAATAACAAGAGCGAACACGAGAACAAGAGAAATAATAGCAAGTTCTTGGAAGATCTGGATGCTGCCCAAGAAGATCTTGTCCTGAACTCTCAAGCATTTTGTATGATTTTGGTTGCTATGGAGTAAGACTTTATCCTTAACATTCAATGATCTTGAGTGCTACGGTGTAAGATCGTGCCCTTGACATTCAATCATCTTGGACTCTACGCTCGAAGAGCTTGTCTTTAACTTTGAACATCTTGGATGATATGCCCTAAGACCTTGTCCTTGAATTACAAACATCTTGAATCTTGGATGCCACGCTGTAAGACCTTGCCCTTAATCTTCAAACACCTTTGATGCTACGGTGTCAGGTCTTGTCCTCAAGTTCCAAACATGTTTGATGCTACTCTGTAAGATCCTCTCCTTAACTTTCCAGCATCTTGGATGTTACGGTGTAAGATTCTGTGCTTAACTTTTAAACATGTTTGATGCTATGCTGAAAGGCTCTGTCCTTAACTTTCAATCATCTTGGATTGTACGGTGTAAGATCTTGTCCTTAACTCTCAACCATCTTGGATGACACCCTGTAAGACCTGTCCTTAACTTTCAATCATCTTGGGTGCTACGCTGTCAGGTCTTGTCCCTAACCTTCAAACATGTTGGATGATACGCTGCAAGTTCTCGTCCTTGCCGGACAAAACAAGAACCACAACAGAAAAAACAAGATTAAGATTCTGGTTAAGCTGGTTTTTTTCCTTCAACCAATCTGTTGATGGTCGACTTCAAAACTCCGCAGAGCCTGGTTTATAAAATTTGATATAGGTATGACGATGGAATTCGAACCTTCACCAGTTAAAATATTCTCTTTACATCAATGATTAAATGCTCAATAACCAAAGTTAAAAGTTATAACACACTCAAAGATGTTATGACCCGCGAAACGGCGACTTACAAACCACGCTTGTTACTCAGCTACTAAGGTAAAACATCATTAAACAACCCACAAAAATTACTAAACAGGTAGTCGTAAGTTCGCTGGCTGCAAGTGGGCGCTGGCCCTCAAACACAAACAATCTGGCCCTTTGTTTTTTTGTCCGAAACAGCTTTTATACCTATGTTTCAATCGGTGCGGGTAGCTGCTGGTGCATGGCTGCTAGCAATCTACGACAGACAATCTTGAAAAAAAAGTAGCTGCCAAGTGGCTGCCAAGTGGCTGCCAAGTGGCTGCCTGAGCAAGTGGCTGCAAGTGGCTGACATTTCGAAAATCAAAATGATGCACGTTTGCTCGTTCTCTGTTCAAACCGGGCAATTGGAGGTCGTATGGAAGGGGAGGTCGTATAGAAGGAAAGTGTTTGTACGTTCTAAAGGCCTTATGAGAGCAGAAACCTGATAGGGATATAGTGATATAGTACTGCCACCGAACATGCGAGAAACCTGAAGAGGTGCTCTGATGAATCCCTGTCACAAGATGAACATATACTGACATAGACAAACTGGTCACACAGAATGTACAACACTACACTTTACTTTACATATCACGCAGCACTTAGGAGTAGGGAAACTTAGGGAAATGCTTGGCCAAAGTGAGAGCCTTGAGGAAAGAAGTTCAAGACTCGTTCTGGTGATGTGGTGCGGCTGCGGGATCTCTTGGATGAAGCGGCCTCGCGCTCGGAGGCTGAATTGCGTGGCGTGGCCGTGTGTTGGCAATCTGGTAAAGATAACGATCAGATAACGATCAAGAATGGATCACATACCAGATATTGATACTTTAGACATCTTTAGACTTTTTAGAGATCGTTTAAAAAATTGAGAAATGAGAGCAAATCCCTGCGACAGGACCATGCTGAGTTGGGGTGATTTCTGGGTGCCCCTCCTTTTCCATCAACTTGGCCGAGGAAAACGGGCAGAAGCTGCGCAACGAGACATTGATACACAGAAGGAGGACGGCCAGGGGCTAATGTTGAAGATACTCTCGGCTACATGGTAAAGTATGGTGAACATCATGGCGAATAATTATAAATGAACATAATGTGTTCGAGACTCACGCAGAAGGCGAGTTTCAGTCAAGGGGCATCAAGGGGCCATAGGGATCCATAAGGGACCAACAAATGTAGATGTTTGATGATGTTTGTAGGATTTTTCGCCGTAAACTGTTTGAGCATGTGGCGATCTCTTTTTGTTGATAGCACTGGACAGCCAAATACAGCCAAGCTCGGCTGAAGGAGCAGCTGAAGAAAGATGCGGAGAGCATTGGAGTTGCAGCTGTGAAGTACTTCGACCTTCGCCAAAATCGTAACTCAGATTATAGGCACAGTGGAGATGGCTGGAGCATGGAGCGATTTGGACCAGGATTTGGGGGGAAATCAAAGAGCAAATGCCATGCCACTCATAGCGATGGCGATAACTGGAATTCTTTGTTCGAGCACCTGGGTTCGCAAAAACCCTTAGAAGTGGCTAGTAGCTCATTTGATTTCTGTCATAGTTGGCCGATGGTTCACAGATATTTTAGACATTGTTTAGACATGTGTAGACATTGATACCAGCAGAAAAGTGTCACAGCATGTCACAGCACAGCAATGACTCTGACACCAAAGCCTCTCGTGAAGTTTCCTCGATTTCACATTGACCTCGCAGGTTCTCTTACGACCAGATGCTGGATCCCAAGGGCAATACTGCCGTTTACGTCCTGTATGCGTATGCACGCATAGCTGGTGTGCTGCGACGTGCCGAGCACGATGTTTCATCCTTGAGCTCGTCAGACTTGGTTTTGACAGAGCCCAGTGACACTTGGCGCCAGGAACGATCCAGAACGCCACAAATCGTTTCAAGCCAACAGAACTTTCACCCATATTGGTTTGTGCTAGGAACATGCCTTTTGTATCCTTTTGTAAACTTTGTAATTATGTACATTCTGCTGGCAACAAGTATCCCATAGGAACGGCAAGTTTGTTAGTTGTCGTCCAAAACTTTCTTACTATGTGTTGGTAAGTGTCCTGTTTTGGATCTTCAACATCACCATTGGATGGTTGGTAGGGATGTATCCCCAGAATCGGGTGACGCTTAAGTGGGTTTGCTTGAAAATATGGCTTGAAAATATGGTAAAGAGATGTAAAGAGGTTATTATATAATGATATATATATACATATATAATTGCATATATAATTATATATGTATACATAGATATTGATGGATATTGATGGACCAGAACTTGCGGCTCTCGTCTCGTCGTTTCCCAGGAGAGGGCCCTGGCCTTGCGCTTGATGCGGCTGCCAGAGGTTTTGACCCAGCTGGAGGATGACCTGTTGCCCAGTCGGCTTATTGCAGCTTGGAGCTGACGATGACAGGGCCGATAGCCTAGGGTTGGGGATGCTATTAGGGATGCTATGGGATGCTATGGGGCCTGATGGGCTTTTGGGTAACCGTGGGGAACTCCGAACTGTTAGACCTAAATTGGCAGTGTTTGGCTTCGATTCCTAGCCCAGTCTAAGGTGACGGGGTCAAGATAGCAAGAATTCAGCAGGAGAGGTCACGACCCTGTTATAAAGGGCCTCGGATGGCCAAGGATCATATCTATGGCCTGGCTACAGATTTCACCACCTTCTACACCGAATGTTTCGTGATTGGCTCAGAGCAAGAGAAGAGCAGATTGGTACTACTGGAGGTGTGCGAGCTGCCCATTGCGGCTGGAATGTGTTTGACAACATATTATGGTGATTTAAAAGCCTTGGTTCCTACATTTAATGGGTTTAGCCTGTGCAGTATAGTATGATTAATTCCATGCGCTTGTTGAATGCTAAATCGGCGAAATACATCGAAATACACTGTGACTTTGAAAGTGTCGATTTTCAAGATGTCCACGTCATTTGTACGATATGAGCGTCCCGGGTGACCATGAGGCTGTCCGGGGACATGAGTGCAGCCCGTGCAGCCCGTGCAGCCCCGCAGGTGGTGCGGCGACAATTGGCGCAATGCCTGGGTTTCTTACGGATCCAGCCCTTTGAGCAGCTCTGAAGTCGCGCCATGGCGGGCCCCAAGTTTACCCATGCGATGGTGATATGATGAGTTTCACATAGCTTCACATAGTTTCATCATATTTAGAAGATGGCTGAACAATGTTGAACAGGTGAATATTGTGCTGGCAGTTGGAGAATCGATTGTTGTCAAGTTCTTAATTCTTATATGTTTACCTGGCTATTGCATGGTGAGCATCACCGTCGGAAGACGGATGAAGCAAGATGGGTGAAACACTGCATGCGCAAAGTAGTATTGATCGATTTTCGGCCAGTTTTCGAAGTGCAAACCACCTTCTACATCTACAGTTATGACTTGAGTCAGCTCGTGATGGGAAGATGTCATGCGAGCGCTACCGATTTTCGGAGAGGGAAAAAGTCGCAGCAATGGGGCCGTTGCATGCCGTTGCCACAGACAAAGTGGAGATTCCAATCTCTTGCCCTTCGAGAAGACCAACCCAAGACAAGAGAAAGTTTGTGCAAATCTCCCATTCAATTAATTTTGTGGGATCTTTTGGGACAATCATCCAGCTTTTTTCAGGGTGCCAGCTGAACACTCTAAGGCGAGCCCTTCGTTTGCTGCTCAGGGAATTGCGGCTCAATGACTTGCAGCTGCAGGATGGGAGCGCCGGAACAGCTCAGCTGATGGTGGTGGAGTGCCAACATGGCTCAAAATGTCAAAGAGTTTCACTGCAAAGGCTGCAGTTTTTCACCTGTCAAAATTTGACTTCGTCAAACAGACTAAGCCCTTGCACAAGATGGCTGGGTTCCCAGACCTGTATTGAAATGTCTGAACGAGTTTCACGAGGTTGAGTGCTGCTGAGGTACTGCTCTTATGTCAAGCTCTCCACTGGCTCAATCTGGCTCGTCGTGGGCACGAACCTTGGGAGAGTTGCATGTTGTATCTTCGCGCCGGCCGATTGATTCAATGTTCTTTATAATATACATGTTCTTCGCTTGTTTCTCATTTCATCAAACGGCCAGAAGGCCATCTCAGAGCATCTCCATGTTCTTCCCCACACAACAAAGTTGCTCAGTTGTTCCATCATAAAGACCAAGAAAATCACGAAACTCCTTCCTAGTGGCGCATCATTTCGCAGCTTTGGGGCTCGAGTTTTTTCTGTTTTTTTCACCCTGTGGGATCCATTTCCGATGGCCTTGACCTTTGTGACTCCCAATGGCGCTGGCCAGCTGACGCAAATGCCTCGGCTGGCCAATCAGGGCTTGAGTCACCCAATGGCAAGATCTGAGCCCGCGCATTTTTGGAACTCAGCGCCTTGGATTTCAGCAGCAATGCAGCAGCAGTTTCGATTTCTCTTCAACAGCCAGTGGTGATTCGTAATGATCCCCGGCTTTTGGCGGGATTCACTGGGGGATTGCACTTTTGGTCGATCATGTTGATGTAAGTTGCCGAACTCCTCTTTCCTTTTGCAAGTTCCGTCAAGTTCCCCTTTTCTGCCATATGAGGTGTCACGACTCGGAGGACTTGTGGCGGTTTTGGCGTGCGTTCCAAGGAAATCTCTTCACTCCCGCCGTGAAAGCAAGCGTCAGCGTGCCGTGCAGCTAGCTGCATCAGAAGACACTGAAGGACTTTTGGTTGGGATGGTTTGCATTCTTGAAGTTCAGAAACCATTTGCAAGTTGTTCTTTGTAAGACTACTGTGTATGCTTTTGGGTTTTTCTCGGTGAAGCTGCATCAATCACAAAAACAATGAACCAGGAGCTGACACCTCTGAGTCAGATCTCGGTACCTTTCCTAAGTGTTGGAGGGTTGGGCTGTGGTGAGCTGTCAAGAAGTCATTGTGATGCGTTGAACTGGTAGAATCTTGTACCCTCTGGTAAACTAACATAGCTATGGAAAATCACCATTTATAGTGGATTTTCCCATTAAAAATGGTGATTTCCCATGGTTATGTTAGTTTACCAGAGGGTAGATGTGGACAATTTGGTTGTCACAGAAATTCTGGCTGGAGTACTGCTCGAGAAGCGTAATGTGTGATGTCGCCTTTATCAATGCCGTTCCTTCAGATTGGATCAAGCCCATCAAAACAGTAGCATTGGCTCATGGAGCCCGGACTAATGCTTGCTACAATGCCAACAACACTTTACACAGCACATCTCCATTGTATACGCTTTGACACTCCCTTATCCTGATTGGAAATGATGGGACAAGATTGGATATGATGTGAATGGTGAGGCAGCATACACAAATCGAAACTGTGAATGTGCTGGGGCTTGACATAAGGCTGCACGCCGGGACTGTAAAGCATCATAAAGCATCATCAACCGGGCAGCGGTTGACAAGGCTTGGACTTCAGCAAACTGCGAAGTCTTTTGGAACAGCAGGACTTCAAAGCCGCTGATGCGGAAACCAGAAGTTCCTTTGCAGCGCTATAGGATGTGTTTTCAGGTTTTGCATAAGTGTGATAAAGGGAGGCGTTCATGCCTGCAGAGTCCTTCGTTTTTTTTTCTCTCAGAATTCACACTCACAGAAGACTTGGAGGACCAGCCATTTGCTTGTCCAAACTCTCCATTTGTCGCAACATGTCAGAACCATTCACCAAGATCCGCTTGTCCAAAGCTGTATGAAGTATTATGAGGATTTATGAGGTAAGTTGGCAGCCCACTGCCTGAAGACTAAATTCATGACTATTCCATTGTTAGCGTCCAGGTTTGCTGATCAAGATGGCCGGCGATGAGGCTGTGAAGCGGGGATGGGTCTACTTTGCAGAGGTGCCCTGGGGCCCTGGGTTGCCGAGTTGCCGTGAGGTCAAGCCCCGGGTTTGCAAGGGTCGCTTTGCCCAATCCCAAGAGTGCTGATGGCTAAAGTCGGCTAAAGGGCCTACAATGAATTTGCCGCTAAGTTCTTTGGATGGCAACCTGATTTTTGAGACTTTTGGGATGTTTGAAGCCGCTATATATATATGATTTATCTACAAGTCTTTGCCGTTTGTCTTGGTGCACTTGCTTTCTCATCCATTCAGGCGTTGGTATTTGTCTCAGATGTGCATCACCTTTGGATGGATGTTTGATGTCGTTTGGAGCACTTGGTTGAGGTATTGCATGAGACATGTCAACAGCCTGCAAGATAGGATAAGATTGGCAGGTGAAGACAATGCCGGAAAAGGACATGGACACTCTCGAGACCCTGTGGCAACAGAACAGCAACGGAAGGTTTGGATTTGTCCAGCAGCGCAAGATTTGGCGAAAAGTGCGCGGACAGTTCGACAAGTTTGCAGAGGAGGTGTCCTGGTTCACGGCTACTTGGGTCTGCATTATTTGTTGATGGCCAGGCGGGATTCTACTATCAGATCTATCAGGATATACTGGTTTGAAATGGTTTGAATATGTTGAACATGGATTATATAATTGACATGATACCTTGCAGAAATCTTCCTTTTGACCAACCAGTAGGAGGGTTTCAGATCTTTCTGCCACCGCCATGTCCCAGGATACTTGGAAGAATCGGAATTGGCCCGATGAGTTCATCTACAATGTGGAAGCTCCGGTTGGGCATTTGCCATTGACCAACTGCATTCGTGGTGCACAGGTCCTTGGTGGGAAAGCAGCATTGCTCCGGGTTGGCTATTGAATCATCTTGAAATATCTTGAATCGAATCGCATGGATTGCTGTAACTTGTTGTGATTGGAAGTTAGGACCTGTCGGACATGTTGCTTTACTCCAGCCTGTTCCTAGGATGTCCTAGCTTGTAGCATTTGTGGCCTTTGTTTGATCTTTGCCCTTTTGAAAAGCCAGGTTCTGGAGGAACTGCTAAATCACCCGGCGATCCAGAACAAAAAGGCTGCGGCCATCAAAAAATCGAAGCCAGCAACCAGTGAGTCTGGTGATGAGAAGCCTGGCCGACGTTCAGCCCTTTCAATGCTGGCACAAGGCCCCACTGCGACAAAGTCGCCACCTCGAGCCATCCTCGCAGGGGGACAGGCTCCCCGTCTCCCAGTCGCCAGGGAGGCCGGACGTTTTTAAGACAAAGGAACATGAAGAAAAAAATTGGCCACGGAGAGATGGCCTCAACTGTTGCACTGTCGGTTGTATGCTTCGGCCGCTTGTTGCTCGGTGGGAGGTATCAGTCCAAGTAAATCCTGCAATCCAGCATCAGAATATATCAGAATCATCAGCATGGTCCAGCCATCAAAGCAAAACAAGTATGAGATATCACATGTCGCGTGGCAGCTGCTGTGGGTATGGGCCCAGCTAAGGGCGGCCCATGTGGAAGTACTTGAGCTGGAAGGGCCGGGCGCCCCAGAGGAGTCTAGACCTATTTGCAGGAAATGCATAGTGAAGCGCGCGGCATTGTTTAGGCGGAAATTTGCGTGCCGGAATCAGGCTCACACGCTGGGGCTGGGCTTTGCTTCATGACTGATGTTGAATATATTTGGATATGTTTTTAATGTGTTCTTATCAGGGTCCCGCAATCTGATTCGTTGCTTCTGACGGTCCTTGTGTTAAGGAATCATCTCACACATGAAGGGGCCCGGACCTCAATCTGTAACACATGTGCGAAGCTAGCTGGGTAGGCTGACAATGACAAGGAATACCAGTGAAATCGTAGAAATGATGCCTCTTCACTGTGTCGCACATGTCCCTTTTTGCAGACAAATCCATGCTATCCGGCGTTAGATGACGTAAGTCAAAATATGTATTATTGGGGAACATCGATTCCAGTGACCTTCAGCCTCAGTCTCGCGATGAGTCTCTCTAGCTGCACCGATTTCATACTCCAGTTCAGTAAGGATTGATCCAAGGATATCCCGTTCCAGCACCGGCATTGCCAAGGTGGTTGCTCTGAACCTGACACCGCTCAGGCGTTTGAGCCTGCATGGCGCCCCAGAGGCTTCGGATGTCGGAAGAACGCAGCAAGGCTGCCGGGTCTTGTTCGCATGTTCTTCTTTCTCGTGTTTGCATGCTTTCTGGGATTGGAGGACTTGATAGATCTTGATAGTAACTTGATAGGGATTGCTTGTTTTGGCAGGCGACATGGCGCGATAGCATGCGATTCTTGGTCAGTTCGTTGTAGCATTTTGCCATGCCATGCAGATCCTTGCAGCAAAGGTCCAGGAACAAACTGCGACCAGTTGGCTGGGCTCCCCAGGCTCCCCGGGCTCCCCAGAGTTAGATCATGTTGGATCCCACATGCGGCTGGAATTTTGCACCTGAGCTTCCTGCAGTAGCCTTGCGATATGAAATCCAAAAGTGGGTAAGAATTTAGGTAAGAATGTAACAAATGAAAACAATCCATGCCCTGCTTAATGGTAGGATGTTTGAGGAAGTTGTTCCGTTGTCATGGATTGCTCACTTCACGCACTTATATCACAACTTCGGGTCTTAGTAGGCATTTGACTGAAGAATATATATATATGCTTCAGAAGGTGAAAAGCAGAGTTCCGGTCTGCATTGCTTTAAGAGCCCTCAGGCATCTCATAAGTTTCCGTTAGAACTCCCCACACAAAAGTATTTGTGGCACAGAAACACGATCCCACTGCTTCTGGTTGGTGAGAGGTCCATACTTCCACTGCCGTTTCACCTCAAGCAGAGTTTCACCGCAACACCGACTTACGTAATTATTTTCTCCGAAGTCCAGATCCCAGGATGCGGCAAGGAACTATATATGAGGCATTGATTGTGAGGCTGAATCCTTGTTGCTCGTAGGGTGGGCACAATGTAAGGGACCTGTACAAGTGAATTTGATTCAAAGGAAGTACATGAAAGCCCGTCACAAGATGTTGATTTGTGCGACAACATGGATGTGAATCAATGATGCTGGACGCATACAGGTGACTCCCATATACCACCAAAAATTGCGATTCTTATGACTTACGACATGTCTGAGTCTAGGTATTCTCCACAACATAATCCCTTTCACAGGGCGAATCAGGTTGGCTGTGAGAGCCGTTTTCCTCATAGCCCTAAGGGTTCCCATGGCTTTGCTTGCCTCGCCAGCACCTTGCCATGGCTCCAAAAGCAGGCTGAGGGTTGATAGTGTCATTGGCCAACTTGTTGCACCGTAGCTATCACACAGAGACTAAACCATGTTGCAACCCAGATTCCTCACTTGTGCCCTGAATTCTGGGGGCTAGACCCAGTAATATCCTGTGATTATGTACTTGGCGTTCTGCTAGATGTGACCCCCAGAGCATCCTGCGACAATGGAGCCAAACGCCAAAAACGCCTCTCCGCTTTGCGAGGCAGGAGCCCCAATGAATCGCCCAAAGTGGCACAGGCGTTTCGGGTATGGATGCTGTCAGGGACTTTGTGGGGCAAAATTAATTATAAGGCCCAAAAACCCTACGTTTGGCCGATGTCGGCGGTATCAGATTTGACAGATTCTGCATGATTCTGCATTCAGCACCGTGGAAGGACTCCAAAGTGACCTGGACATGGCGAGAGCACCTCGACAGAAGCAGGTATGGCTTGACATCAGGGGCCAAGGCACAATGAAGTCAATCATTGAAGCCACACCCAAGCACACCCAACGCTTTAATATGCTTTAATCATTGCTATGGGAGGATGATGGAGGCTTCATTTTGGCATCAATGGGTTTCAGATGGTTTCGGTCAGTCACACCAATGTTCAGTTTCACAGATTGACTGCAAGCATCCCCTCTTGAGTGGCCATGGCCCCCCAAGAAGCGCGGCCAACGGTTCTTATCGACTTCTTCCCACCGCCTTAGGAGGCCTTTCAAGCCACCAAAGCGGAGCGCAGGACAGGGCAGAGGCTTTGCAGCTTTTGCCCTCGGCCAAATCGCTGACAAAAAGAACGGTCGGGGTTGTCGATTTCGCTCAATAATGGAGTGTGTAGCCATCAAATGTCCCAGTCTGTAGCTAAAGAAGACATCCCACCTCTCAAGCCAAGGGATACCGAATTGTGTGAGGAGATGAAGCGCCCAGCCAAAATCAAGGCGACAATCAGTTTGGTTTGACCATTCGGGTGGAGGGTCGGTGCGACAACTCATTGAAGCTGGTGGATTCATCATTTGGAGAAACAGAGAAAACTGCCGGAACAAACATATGATGGGCAATCATTGTCAGCATCAAAAAGACCCATGTGGTGCATGCTGCCCCGCCTTGCTCATAGAAAGCGTCAGATTGCACCGCAAGGTGCTGAGACGCAGGACGTCAAAGACGAGCAACCTGCAGGAGGCCCCCCCGACATTTGCCCCATTTAACACATTTGTGCTGGAAGTATATCCGTGCACTTCCTGCCTAGCAAGCATACTATGTCAAGTGTTTTCCAAGTCTGTCTCCAGAAGACAATCTTGAGACTTCTTTCATGATGCTTGAATCTTGCATTGTCGTTTGGAAGACAAACTGCTGTGAAAGATATTGTTCGGAGTTCTCGTGCAAGACATGTCTTGGTGCCAGACCCTAGCTCACCCCAGCTCGGGCATCTCCAGTGAAATCATCAATTCTGTGAAGCACGCCATGAGGAAGCCAGCAGCCGACTCCACGCAAAAAACCGTGGACGGGCACCAAGTGCGAGGGGCAGAGGAGGACGGCCGGAAATGGGAGGTAATTGAGGAATAAGCAATCAATCCGTGCCCAGTAGTGGGATGTAGGCTCTGCAGACCAGACAGAATTTTGACTTGGTTCACTTGAGCATACTTGAGCCATCTTAAGAATTTTAAGCCGTTTTAAGCCTGCGGGTGTCGTTGAAAGCTGTTGCCAGCAATTTTCGCCTCAAGAGCGGCACCAATTTTCCAACCTGAGCCATGCTGGGCATCAAGTACAATGTCTTCAGGAAGGCTCAAAGCTTTCCATTGCTGCGTTATTGGTATCGCCGAGCGGTGCGCTTCGACGAGCGCTCTGGGCTGCTCACAGCAGGACTTCCCTTAACGGTGACTTTGGTCTGACTTCAGATTCATATGCGGTGAAGGCATCTGTTGATTTCCTTCAAGAATTTCCTGCACGACCATCAACTGCAAAAGAGAAAACTTTCTAAAGATAGCAATTGATAGCATGTCTTTAGGAGAAACCGGATTAGATGGCACAACAACACATAGTCTGCATGCCATGGCCACTCCCAAGGGGACTTTCAGTGGCATCCTTTCAAGTCTGCAATTACTGTAAGTGGGATTCTGCGCGTGAAATGTCTGCGTATGACGCGAAAAAATCACGACCAAAAATATGGTCAATCCTGGCAATTGTGTCCGTCTTATTTGCATCAACAGCAAGGTGACACTTTTCGCAGCCATCACTGTGACTACAATAATTTTGGATCGGCAATTGGAAATGAGAGATCCTGGGCTTGCAAGTCTGATGGGTGGGTGAAACACAGGCTGGTTTGCGAATCGGTTTGCAAATCGGTTTGCAGCCCGTTTTGCGTTTTTCGCGTTTCTCTCCTTTTTTGCAAGTCACTTCTTTCTGTGTCGCAGTTTATGAAGTCGTTGCCGGAAATGTGCACCAAATGTAGCCCTTTGAGAGGTCCGCTGCCTTTGCCTACCTACACCCAAGCAATGAGCAGCTGTAGAAATTCAGAATCACCAGTCAGGACATGCGAGCTCGTTCAATCAGCAGAAGAGAAGCAACTTTGGAAGAGGAGCATCGAGCAATGCGAGAGTTCCTCAAGGGTACAGAAGATGAGCAGCTTAATTGAAGACATTGACACTTTTCTAGTTGCATCCTCCGTCCGTTTTGAAGATGTTGCTCGTGTTTGGACACTAAACCGCCCAAAGAAAAATAGAGACAAAAAGGCTTCGGAGCCGCATTTGTAACTTCTTGATTTGCAAAGTGTGAAGCACTGCAAGACAACAAGTGTCCAGGCCAAGCTAAGGTCCAACATTCGAGAACCACGAAGCTTACAAAATAAAAGCCAGGTCAAGTTCAATTGTTGGCAACGGTCAGTACTGAAAGCGCCACAAAATAGCACATATTATATCACATTCATCATCCCGCATCCTTCTATTTGTTAGTGTTGACCAGCTTGTTCATGTTTGTGTTGGTACCTGTGTCTTGCAGCCCTGAGGTATGAGATGAAGCAGATTCCTGACACCTACCGAATTGGCCGGTGATGTTGTTGCCACCGGACCATGGACATCAGACGAGGGCAAGCCTGGGCTGCTCCGATGGCTTTGTACAGCCACTCGACTGTGGATGGTTTTGGCAGCTGTTCTGAGCTGTACCGTTCCCGTTTCACCTGGATCAATGCAGATGGAAGAAAGATAAACTTGCCGCACCAGTGACTAGAGCTGGGGCATGCTGGGGCCGCAAGAGATGTCGATATCAATCGCATTCTAGCCGCTAGCCGTTGATGTAAAAGGATGGCAAGGAAGATCCATTCCTTTGGAGAATTTGCTGTAGCGACCTGAGACAGCCTCACCACAAATCATGGTTCGATATGGTTCGGATATTTGGGGAACTATCGGAAAATGATGGAAAATGCGGTTCATCATGTTTCATCAGGTTTGAGATGTGTTATGTTATCGATCGCCTAGATATGTTGGTACGAGGATGTACGAGGACTTGTGGACCATATCCGTTCTGGGTGGCCATTGGACACAAAACTACCACAATTAGCACAGCACGGGACAGTTGTGCCAAATTGAAGGATCAAAGACGTCCGGCAGCAAATGGAGCAAATGGAGACGGCGAGAGCTTCACCGAGCAAGGTAAGGGAAGTGGAAACTGAGACCTGTCCATGTTGAATCAGTTCAAGGTCGCTGTTCCATTCAAGATTGCTTTCCCCCTCTTGCTAGATGTCAAGGTTTCCCAGCAAGCTCAACAGGCACCCCCAACACATTTCTAGAAAGTGGACAGGACCTTTGGCAATCAGGAATGCAAAGTCCCCTTTTTTGGGAATCCCCTGAGAGTCCCTTTTGGCTTTTGGGAATCCGCTGACGAGCTCCGCAATAACTGCGGAGGGAAGAAGATGTTTCTTAATGTTTTTTATTGCTAGACAGGCATCCATGGAGTTGGTACACTGCTGCACTTTGGCCACTGCCATGTCAGGCTCAAACGTGTCGCTCCTCCTCGCCAGGAGGGAACGAGGCAGGGCACGGCAAAATGGGAACACAGCAACAACTTGCCAGAAAAATGAGACTTGCGCGTTTGGCCAGCCTGCAAAAATCAAAACAAGTATCAGAAAAATGTTATTTGTAGACATTTGTAGGCTAATAGGGGCAGAAAAGACTTGATTTCAAGAGTAGCGTCAAAGAAGTCACCGCGTCGACAGATGCATTGGAGGTACAAGATGGCAAACCTGCCTGGTTCTAGCCTCAAGCTTTGGCAGAAGTCAATCAAGCCTGCACTTAAGCCACAGGGAAATGGCATGCCATGACAGTACCCAGCCAGACCGTCACAACTTGCCACGCCTCCCTGCCTGGGGCTTCCCTTTTACAGTGGCATACAGTGGCTACAGGATGCGGGTTTCACTGTTCCTGTCCACCGACCAAAACGGCTCAACTCACCTTGTTCTAAAGTGTTTACATTACCCGTAGCAACGTGGCATCAGAATTGGTTTAATGGTCGCGGAGAACGATGTAGTGATGTGGCAGATTTTACTTGCCCCCCTGCGTTGGTTGCCCTTTTTGCCCTCTTCTTGTTCCGCTGGACCTTTTGGCCCAGCTGCACCATGGACTGCAGATGCCAACTTTGCTGATTCCCTTGCGCCAAGGCAACGACTTCATGATGACCACAAAGAAAGGCAAACGAGTCAGGCATGCTGGGCACATGTCCGCAATGCAGCCTTTCCCACGCAAACCCAAATCATCACACGTTTCATGTGCAGCGTGGTCGAGGACCATATCTCCTTTTTTGAGGGGGGTGTGAAGGAACTGATCCTATATTGATTTGAAGTGAAGGTGATATCGTTATATACGGTAGTGACATGTAGGTAGCTAGAGGGAACAAACCGCATGCACTGCGATATGTTCTTTGAAAAGTGAGCTGTGCTGTGATGTGAAGTCAGCAAGTGCTTTCAGCATCTTTCAGCCTTTTGCCATTTCTGACTGCTGTCGTTGAAATCGCTGTAGAATGCTGTAGCATGTACGGCTTGTGGAATTCCATGGAATTCCCAATTCATCCCAATCCGATATAGTGAGAACATCGACAGAGCAAACGACATTTGTGGATTTCTTACAGTGGGGGATCCCTCAAGACATCCACAAAGATTTGTTGATTTCAGTAGCAAAGACATTTGCGTCGGGCAAAATTCAAACCCAGGGGGGGGGCCAGATTCGCTTGGTTGTTTTTTGCATGGTTTGCATGGACCATTTGACTGTTGGGTTAACCATCCAATTATATCCCATTATTATCCATTATTCAGATTATTAAGTTAACAGAAGTTAACAGAAGTTAAGCATCAGCCATCCAATGTCAATGACATTGGGGATATTTCTGAATGTTGCGGCGTTGTGCCCGTTGCGGTGACCAGGCACAGCGTCAAAAAGAGCGTCGACAGGCTTCAGAGCTGGAGGACGGAGCGAAGGGATGCGAAGGGATCCACCAGCGCTTCGGTAACCGCTATGGAAAATGGCCACGTTGACTAGGGAAATAGATAGATGTAAATAGATGTAAATAGATGTAAAATGATGTAAATAGCTATATATATATACTTTATAATATATATTTGTATATATATATATCACTCTCTCTATATATATTATATGAAATGTCCAGAGTGTGCCGAGAACTTAGGCAATTGTTTATGGACACCCACTATATTGGTACTAGATCATTTCCCGACCGGAAAAGCCGTGGGGTTTCCAGATGTTAAATCACTGGAGGGATTTGGAGGGTGTAGTCCGTGTAGTTAGTCTTCTAAATTTGCTCTACCTGCAACATATGCTGAAAGAACATTAGATGGACATTGTTGACCTCTGGAAGATGATTTTCCATCTGATATTGCGTGTTAGAACCATTTCCCTGTTTCACGTGGATGCAAAGGGCAGGTGTGGGATTTGGAAGTGGAAGATCATGGAAGACGCAGCATTTTTCCAGAAAATTGCTTCACTAATATGGAGGTTTCCTAAAATGGGGGGTTCCCCCAAGTCATCCATTATCATTAATTTTAATAGGATGTTCAATTGTACCTAAACCATCCCGCATCATCCAGCTATCGGGGATCCCCCATTTTAGGAAACCTCTCTGGAGAACCTGGTAGGCGCAGATGCTGCTGCAGCAGGTCATGTAGCTAGGCTGCACCTGATCCAAGGCCAATAAATCACGATATGTGTATATGATATATATAATATATATATATATATATATATTAATATATATATATATTAATATATATATATATTATTATAGTTATATGTAGATAGATAAATAGATATGGATATAGATATAGATATAGAATGATATGGACGGGCATGCAAAGCAGCACAGATATGTGCATACAATGCTGCCCATGTTTACTTGCAGAATGAATCGGCCCAACCGCTGACGTTGTGCCATGGTTCTTCAAGACCACTGAGGCGGCGAGAGCGGTTGCCTGCAGAACAGATTGAGGAGATCACAAAAAGACTCTACTCCGATGGACTGGAGCGTCTTGTCGAAAGACTGGAGTGGCGAAACTGGATATATTATATTTACATATATTTACATAGTATATTTGGATATCAGCGGCTCCGACTGAGTGTACTGGAATTCCTTGAAGGCCGAAGCTAAGCACACAGAGTGGCACTAGCCCGGAATAGAGTTCTATCCTTGTCACCCAAGGAAACAGAAGCAACAGAAAGAGCAGGCAATGAAGGATCATGACAGATACTGGGCGAAGTTACTCGGCCCAACGGTTGCTGTCAGTGTTGCGTGGGGTTGGGGCTCAAGAAAGTGTATTCGCACATGAATAGTGCCAGCTGTGCAGTTTTCTTGGATTTCCTCAAGCATTATCGATATCGCGCCCACTTCACCCAGTTGTGCAGGTTTTTTGGCGGCAAGGCAACCAGTGACCAGGTCTCTTCAGTTTTTCGTGGTGTCACACTATATGCAGCTTGGCAAAGCACAGGGTCCAGGACTTTGCTGTTTCGGCTCGGGGCAATCTGTGGGAGACTTGGGGGTGCATCAAAAAGGGAACCGCTAGTAGCCGCTCGAATCCACCATGTTGATGCTTCAGGCCGGGCCCATTTGGATCCATTTGGAGACACCAAAGGAAGGTTTGTGGGATTCATGTTTGGGTGGTAGTGACTTAGTGACATTCAACCAGGTGTTATGAGTACTTCTGCTTTCACTAAGGAGGCGTTCATGAAACATCAGAAGAGAGCTGCCGCACGGGCTACAGCTCCAGCGGCTGCAGAAGCCGAAGAAAAAGAGAGGCTGGGACGTGCGACAATAGTGCCCGGCCTATGTGGTTGGTAACAGCCTTCAAAAAGTAGGCGACCGGGCGACCACTTTTCATAAGGCTACGGCCTGGGGATTCAACAGGAAAGCTCTTAAGCATTCTTTGAAGTACATGCATTTAAATAGTGTAACAACTGCAAGCTTCCACACCGGCGAGCTGCAAGGAGGGGATTCAGCCCGCAGTACCTGCAGAAGCTCGTGCGCTGGGGTCTGGAGAAGAAGAAACGCATAGAACGACGGAAGCAAGAGGAGGATTTGAGGATGGAGGCTGTTTGCGACACAAAGCAAACTAGGAGGGACAAGGTCCACCAATGTCCACCATGTTTTCCTGACCTCATGAGTCCACCATGGGAAGTCGTACCCCGGTTGAGCAGAAACTTGATGTGTTCCATAGATCCAATGAGCATAAGAGAGTTGCCCTCAAAGCTGGTAAGGTCGGAAGCTAATAGCGTTCTAGGATATTTATATTCTATGACCGATTCCAACCTGCAAAAATGTTCAAACTTCGTGCCCTTCAGGGTCCAAAATGCTACTGCCAGGCTGAGCTCGAGTCGATGTCTGTGCACCATGGAGCAGGCCACATGTTTCCAAGCAGGATGATAATAGCAGCCATGACATAATTAATGGCGTACTTGGAGGATCATGGATGAGTGACACCTTTGAACATCTATCTCTGAACTATTCATGTACAGCTTAGGAGGCAAGACTAGGGCAATGCCGTCGTGATTGTGCTTGCTTGTTGCTGATTCAAACAGAAATGCCTTGCACCGCTTAAAGCTGCTGGCTCAGGCTGGCTCAGTGTTTTTTTGTGGTTGGTTTCTGGAGAGAAAAAACAACATTGCCAGACCAGAATCTTGGAGGAAAATGCATATGCACAAGCTGCTTAAGTAGGCCCATCAACAGTCTCCAGTAATCTGCTTGATCACCCGCCCGTACTACCGAGTGGCACAATTCAATCCTTGCAATGGAGCTGGAGGCCATTTTGCAGCCAACCTTGCTGAGCTCAGCTGAGCTACACACGTGAAGCATAGATGGAACGGTATCCTGGCTATCCCATTGCACTTTGGGGCAACGCCTCCTGCTTTCACAAGGAGAAAGCTCTATCCTTTGACTCCTGCTGTGCCACCGGTCACCTGCGGCTCTATGATACCTTGTTTGCTGAATGCAGGCATCCATGGAGGTGTGGGCCAAGGTCATGTAGAGCAGCCGAATTCAAGCCCTGTTGCAGAGACAACCACCCTCTACGAACCGTGAGGTCTCACCGTTGCCTGCAGGGATGTGAGAACAAGAAGTGGCAGGAGTTTCTGCGCGTGTTTAGGCTTACCCGTGGCTGTGTCCATTGCATGGGTCGTGTGGATATGGTGGAGATGGCCAGGACTATGATAGGCTACCAGCAGTGTGCAGCCGGCAAAGCAGTGGCTGCTTTCAATGTGGTTGTGGCATTGGCAGTGTCAACTGTTGCTGCCTTTCCCTTGCAATCGTATGCCTTGGAGGCTAGAGAGTTTTGCACAAAATCGATCTAAACAAATGTGACACAGTTCTCTCTACCTAGCAAAATCATCTCAGGGTTTGCCCCAACATAGCCAGGCCCTCTCACCATGTGACATCACATGAGCATGTTGTTTGTTGCTTGGCTGATTTGATTGCAGGCTGCTTCCCTTTTATTGCAGCAGATTTCATCGTGCAAGCTATCATCATCGGACTGGTGGCATTTCAGCGGAATTACCGATGTTCAGATGCAGTATGTTCTCGCTCAGATGGAGCCTGTGCCGTTCCTTCAATCTTCCTTCGCTTGCTGCCTTTAGCTTATACAGATTTTAGATGCTGATGTTGCTGTATGGGGGATCGTCCCATCCTAATGTTTGCGTAGTGTGAGTTTGACCTGTCTAATGTATATTTTGAAAAGCCAAGTGATCACATGCCCCCGACGACATTTGGCTTTAGGGCCCTTGAGTCATACCGCGCTGCCGTGGTAAAAGTTGGGCACTAACGATCCCGTTTCCAATTCAGATTGGTAGCGGAGCGGGTGACGACCCGCATCCGGTGGTACGTCAGTGACCCAGGGACCCCTTTGTGAATTTGAGTCTGGTAACTTTGGGAATCAACTGAACTTCGAGTGTGTCGTGGTTCGGGAATCTGTCTGACCCTGACCAGGGCAGGCACTTGTTAACGTTTTTCCTTGTTCGACTCCGAACGGAGCGAGCATCATGTCGATCAATGGCCTTCGTTTCAGCCAGGAGCGCCATTCGTCGGCACCACTTGAGACAAAGAGTGGATCATACATCTATGCAGGTGACGCGGCGAACTTTCATGATTGGCAGTTCAGGACTCTCCTTCGGATTCGTCTTTATGAGCAACAAGTGGAGGAGATGAGTAAGCCTGCGGATCCCGTTGGGACCACAGCAACAGAGCCTGCCGCAGAAGACGCAGATGAGTATGCTACTTTTCCAGATTTGTCGGGTGCAACTCAAGCAGCCCAGCCTACATCAGCGGTCTCGACTCCGAAGTCTGGAGCGAGCCGAAAATCCTCGAAGTCCGGCAAGCAGAAGACAGATGTTGATCGTGGACCATTGGTCAACAAGGTGATTGAAGGATTGAGAGGAGATGCTTTCTCAATAGCTAGGGATCTTGGACTTGAAGTGTTGTCCGAACCTGGAGGGCTAGTGAAACTTGTGGGTGAGATCAAATCCCATGTGTTTCCAAGAGCTCGTGAGGAAGCAAAGGAACTTTTCCGTGCAGGACAGAAGCAAGGTGGTCCTTTGTCTCGCCAACCAGGCGAACCCATGCTTTCCTATGTTCAGAGGAGACGACGTTGGTGGCATATGTTGTGCGAGTTGGATGACACAATGGTGTTTTCAGACAGCTTGAGGACAGAGTTGATGTTGGAGTTGAGTGGACTCAATCGACAAGAGATCCTCGTTGTGAAGGCCTGTGCAGACACTAAGGATTTTGAAGGTGTTGGCAAGGTGCTGATCGAGAACTACGGTCCTTCTCACTTGCGAGAAGGGTCACGATCCTGGACAGGACGTGGCAATCCTCAACAGCTTGGCAAATCGACAGGCAAGGGTTATGGCAAAGGCAAACCTTCTTCGAAGGGATCGTATTCCCAAGCAGCTTATGCAGCCTACCCCGATGATGGGGAGGATCATGCAGAATCTTGGGATGAAGTTGCGAATCAATCCTGGGAGGATGATTCATATGTTGGCATGCTTGGCGACATTGCAGAAGAGGAGCCAGGAAACCTAGAAGGTGACAACGAATTTGATTACTTTGACGATGTCGATGAGTACGAAGCAGTTGCATTGAACAGCTTGCTTGAACTTGAAGATGCAGAAGACGATCGACAAGCAGGAGACGCCATCCAGCTACAACTTGCTGCTTTCACCGCAATGGGGAAAGCAGGTGGCAAGGGCAAATCCTTCGGGAAGCCCAAAGGAAAGGGGAAAGGAAAGATCGTGAAATCCAACCTCACGATCGATCAGAGGAGACAGAAGCTCACAGAGCTGAAGTCGAAGAGCAAATGTTTGAGATGCGGCACCATAGGGCACTGGGCCGGTGACCCGGAATGTAAATTCCCGGGGTCCAAATCCGGAGCCCCTGGAAGGCCAGCCCCAAAGCCCGCAGCTCACTTTGCCGATATGAGTGATTCTTCAGATGATGATGGTGTGACTTTGACGGCTTCACCTGGCCGTGACAGAGATGCAGTTGCTATGATGGCAGTTCGACAAGCGAAGCCTAGCAGCAGACCTTCACGTGCAGCAGCATCCAGCAGCAACGTTGGCTTGATTTCCCGGGATCTCGATGTTACAATGAGACCCGAGGACCATGGGTGCATCTTTCCTGTTGGACAGTTCAAGGGTTTGTCTTTTTGGAATGTATTGTTTGAACAGACAGGGTATTATCACCATGCCAAGAAACATACCCCCAAGAGTCCATATTATGCCACATGGTTGAATTGGGTTGACAAGTACTTTGTGGTTGGTGCTGATGGGATTCACTTGCGCGAAGTCCCTGTTGAGCGTGTCGAGCACCGAGATTTGTTGGTGACTCGGGAGACTGGCAGGAGAAAACCCCCAAATCCACCTTTGCCGAACAAGTGTCAAGAATGTCGTGAGTTTACAAAACAAGGTTCTACGGGGTACACCATCAGGAAGACTTGCCTTGTGTGCGGTCATTCCGAAACAACAAGACGTGATATGGTACCGTTGATGACCCCTGAAAATTGCCCTCATGACGACACAGATTTTCGGGGATCCAGCAAATCAACACACCGTACTTTCTGCAAGAAGTGTTGCACTTTCATTGATGAAGCTCCTATGCAGATTCGTAAGGAGCGAGTTGCCATTGCCAAGAAGGTTGAAACAGCATCAGTTCGAGCAGTCCCCATTGTTGAATCATTGGTTGAAGAATCGGATGGATTGAATCCAGTCCAGTTGGAAGAGTTGTTGCCCCTGTTTGCCACTCTCGTTACCGAAACCTGTCAATCTGAGGTCATGACCCGTGCACGACTTCATGAACTACTTCATCAAGCCATCAATGACGTGACAGAGGAAGAGGACAGTTTTTCTCTTGTCAATGAAGATGGGCACGGTGACCCCTCGGGCAGGGAGTTAGCTGGGTACGTTGGCATTTGTTTGCATGGAAGTGACATTCAATACCCTCAAGACTTGGTTTACATGAACTTTGAAACTGTTGACATTGCCAGGTCATCCCATGTCTTTGCAGTGTTGGATGAAGGTTGCAACAGCACTTGTCATAGCAAGGCTTGGGCAGTCGATGCAGAAGCACGACTGGCCCGTTTGGGTTACAGCATGCCATTGAAGGATGGCAGTTGTAAGAGTTTCGGATTTCGCTGGTCTGGGAAATGGTAGTACCAAGACCGAAGGTGTGAGATCTATTCCTTTTTCGCTGCTGCTTCCAGACGGGAACATGAATGGGGAGTTGGATTCATATCAATTGTCAACAGGCAACAGTCCATTGCTTCTTTCATTGCATGCGCAAACCAAATTAGGCCTAGTGAAGGACCTAGCAAAAGGAGTGGTATCTATTCAAGATCAACCATTGAATATCAAGAGGTGTTCAAAATCAGGTTTACTTGTGATGAACTTGACTGAAGGGTTGACCAACATCATCAACACACCGCCGAATGAACTTCCCCAAATCCCAAAGTGTCACAGAAAGTATAACATTGCGTACACTGCATCCACATCAGACGTTGCCATGGCCGATCATGATCAGTGTGGCTTTCATTCGAGGGACTATGACATCTTGCAGACGAAGTTGAATGAAGAGCTGCGCAGTAACAGGAAGGTGGTCATCATGACTCGTGGACGTAGATTTCAACATATTTCAACAACATGCATGCAGAACTAGCAGGAACACTCTGACCATCAACTGCGAAGACATTTACGATCCTGATCTGGACGTAAATCTTAGATCTCATGTGGGTTGGCATCATGGAATCCTTGGGACGCTGAGCAAGGTGGACAGGTTCATCCAACATCTCAACAACATCCTGGAGTTCGTCACTCAGCAGGAGGATGGCAGCAAAGTGTTGGTGGACCTAGAGTGCAAGTCAGGCCGCCATAGGTCAGTGGGACAAGGATTTGCTGCCTTTAGGTGCCTCAAAGTCCTTGGTTATGACGTTGTTCTCATCCATGCATCATCCTGGAAGTGGGGCGAGATGCGCTGTGGTGGTGTTTGCCATGGTTGTAAAGACATGGCTGCGAGCTTGGGACAAATTCGACATTTGATCCCGAACATGTCAAGGTTGGCACGATCACGAGGCAGTGTGACTTCAAGCCGTGACGTGCGTGACGCTCCGGCCGATGATGTTTCAGGTGAACATTCTTCCCATCCTACAGCAGATCATCCCACTGCAGGTCATCCTACAACAGATCAGCTTGATGAGATTCGACGACTGGCACAAGGACTTGCCACCGACGTTGGGCATCTTCGAACAGAACAGGTTGAGATCAAAAGGATGGCAGCTGAGACAGGTCGGAGGTCCCGATCTCCACTTCGGCGACGACGCTTGCCGACACCACCATCTCCACCAAGGCGAAGGCGATCCCCAAGCTACAGTCGCAAGATGCCTCCCTGGAGAATGGCTGGACGTGGCAGGAGCCCCACAAGGGGAAGGAGCCCATCGAGACCAGCCCCGTCGAGACCATCTTTGATGCCGAGGCCCCCAGATCATCCTCCACCACACATTTCGGACGTGCCAGGGACCGATGACGGATCCCGATCTCCAGGGGCCACGGATGGACCCCGAGCTTCAACGTTGCCACAACGATCTCGAGAACCTCCCAATGATCGCGATGAGCTTGAACGACTGATCCGAAACAATTTGGCATCTGATGGGCCGTTTGACAACAAGAACGTGTCGGTGACATCATTGGACGGTGAGCTTCTTAGCGAAGTTGTGTCCTTTTGCATCCGTGAGGGTAACAGGGATCGGCTCTTCTGGATTTGGCAAGCCTGGTGATGATCCTTTGACGGACGGTGTCAGGATGAATGTCCTGATTCGAGACCACATCCGGCCCAATCGGATTATCAAGGTTTCGAATGGCATCAAGCACTGGAAGCGATCTACGTGGTGCAGACTTCGCAATGGAGGCACTTGGGAACTCATTGAAGACAACGTTGAAAACAGAGCAATGGTACGTTTGGACAACTCGTGGATCGATGTGATCGTGTTTCACCACCCACCAGGGGTGTTCGATGACTCCGGGAGGGGAGCATACATGAGCGTTCGTGTCAAGTTGACCCCCAACAAGAAACTTCGGGATGTAAGGGATGATTTTGAAAAGTCTTTGAATCCAAAAGTTGAGATGAAATCCTCAGAACCCAAAAGAATGTATGCAGTGAAGTCGAAGCCCCAGCCAAAGGTCTTGACGCCCAAGTTGGAACAAGATGATTCCGATTCTTATGAATATGACTATGAGTATTCTCCCACTGGTTTCATGGCTGTGCGTTTTGATTCCAACGTTGATTTGACAGTCCATCCTGATGAGAGGAGGACCATGAGCAAGAAACACAGAAAGATGGTATTGGAAGGTATCAACGATCATGGTGTGATGCAATCCAGTCTTGGGATGCAGCCTCAAGTTTCCAACGGGACTTCAGGGGTTGCAGTCATCACGTCACACCCGACTCTTTTCCAGGATCTTTTTGAGCACACCTATGACGTCGGCGTGAATGCCGCGTATTTGGACGGCGATGCTGAGCCACGTGGTTGGAGTGACATGTTCGAGGGTTGCACATTGATCATTGTTGCAATTGAGTACAAGTCAGAACATTATCCACTGTGTCATGCGGATCTTGTATTTGAGTTGGAACAGAGTTGTGATGCCACAGGGTGTAGATTTCTCATTGTTGATGTCGCGCACACTGAACGATGGGAATCATTCAAAACACCACAGATTCCATATATCAACGAAGTTGGTCTTGCTTTTGTGTCAAACGATGATGAACTCATTCAGGGTTTTCAGAATTGGTCTATGTATCGACAATTGGATGACGTTTTGAATTGGGAGTTTTGTCAATGGATTCGTGATTGGTCACTTGAGCGTGAATTGGAGGACCAAATGAGCGTTGCCTTCCCAGCAGAGATCATTGAAGAGGCTCAGGAACATGGTGGAAACTGGGATGCAGTGGATGGTCCAGAAGATGTTGCATTGCAGGATCCAGTTGAGGACCTGACCCAAGAAGAGACCCTCTTGGATGAAGTTGATATCCCTGGTTTGCCAGAGGATGAATCAGAGAGGCGTAGGTCTTGGCGTAAACTTCCTCAGCGTGTCAGGCTTGCTGTGCGTAGGTTGCACAGGGCTTTTGGACATGTCCCCAAGTCGGTGATGGTCAATTTGGTGCGTGCTGCAAAGGTGAGTAAGGAGTTTGTTGATGCAGTGAAATTGCATAGATGTGAAACATGTGAGAAAACATCAGCAAAGAAACCCACTCACAAAGTCACGCTTGCAAGTGATTATACATTCAACCACACTTTGGGGATTGATGTACTGGAGTTGACAGATATAACTGGGCAAAAGTATTAAGTTCTCAACATGGTTTGCATTGGTACTTGTTTTCAACAGGCTGAAGTCGCGAAGGTTGGAGCAGGTCAAGCTTCTTCGCGATCCTGTTTGGACGCACTCATGAAACGTTGGTTCAGTTGGGCAGGACATCCTGTTGCTATCATGTGTGACCGTGGATTGCACAATCGTGGTGTCTTGCAACAATACATGGATGAACACAACATTCAAGTGCACCATGTGCCCCTTGAGAGCCCGGAATCATTGGGCCGAGTGGAGAGACATGGTGGTTTGTTGAAAGCTCTTTTCAGACGAGTGTGTACAGAAGTTGGGGCTTGCACCAAAGAACAGGTTGAGTCGTGCATCACACAGGTGCTTGGTGTGAAGAACGACTCTGCGCGTGTTGGAGGTTTTTCTCCATCCCAGTGGGTGCTTGGTAGAGCTCCTCGGGGTGCAGCTTCACTCATGTCAGAGGAAGATCATGCACAGCTCGGAGCCATTCAGGCCCGACATGATCCTTCGTCAATTTTTGCATTACAACACTTGGCCAGGATTGAGGCACAAAAGGCTTTTGTTCACCTTGATTGTTCAAGAAGAGTTCAGAGAGCGTTGACACGCAATGCCAGCGTGTTTGATCGTGAGTTCAACATTGGTGATCTCGTCACTTTCAGACGAGACAATCAGCGAGGAGGAACGTCCTGGTCACCAACATGCCGAGTGATCGGACACGAGAACCAGAAGAACATATGGTTGCTATGTGGTAACGTTCCAGTACTTGTGGCTTCTCACAACATACGCATTGCTTCTCCTTCTGAGGCTCTTGCTCAATCAGTGTTGAATGGTGAACCTGTGATTCCATACAAGATCATCAATGATACAGGTCAGCAAGCATTTCTTGATGCAAGGCAAGCAGATGAGGTTGAAGTTGTTCGTGAAGGTCCAGGACAAGCAGACGATGTTGAAGTTGTCCATGAGGACAGTGCAATTCCCCCCATACCAGAAGTACCTGAAGATGAATGGGACATACGGCCCAGTTTCTTTGAAGAAGATGAGGAGGAGGAAGACACAGGTCCTATGGAAGAAGACATCTTTTCACAGAGTAGAACTCCAGAAAGAAGAGTTGAAAGACCACGTCCAGGAGATGAAGATCATGAACGCAACGTGAGACCTCGAGTAGAGTCTCACTTACAACCTGAGTCGGAGAGAGGCTCATCACTTGTGCCATCTCGAAGAGACTCCTTTGTGCCTGATCTTACTCCTAGTGGTTCCGTTTCAGGTGCATTAGCTTCATCGTCAGCGTCATCTTGGCCATTGCGAAGAGAACTTTTGAATGACTTACCACATCAATTGCGAACACATCTTGAAAGAGCTCGTGAGAGAGACTCAGAACGAAGTCCTGAAGAACAACAAGAAGCACGAGCATTGTTTGCATCATTTTTGTCCCAGGAAGTTGGAGTTCCTGAGGACGAAGAGCTAGGTAAGAAAGTGTTGAAATCAATCCACTATGAATCAGCGCCACCTGATGTACAGAAGAACATCATGGATGCCAGAACCAAGGAGTGGAACAAGTTCCTTGAGTTCGCTGCTGTTGTAGAAATTTCAAAAGAAGATGCTGAGAGGTTGATTGCTGAAGGGCATCAATGTATTCCTAGCAAGTGGGTTGATGTTGATAAGAACCAATTTATGAAAGGAAGGACAGACCAAGAATATGTGCCTAAGTTCAAAAGCCGGTTGGTGTCATGCGGCAATTTCGAAGTCAGTGAAGGTTCGAGATCAGACAGTCCTACAGCAGACACAGAAGCTCACAACATTCTTTGCTGTTGGGCGGCGATCCAGGGTGCACAATTGCACAGTGCGGACGTCGCACCCGCATGTTTCCAAGGTCGTCCTCTCGACAGAGTTCTCATTATGAGACAACCCCGAGGAGGTCTCCCGGGAGTTGATCCAGAAGTCTTTTTCCTTGTGAGAGTGCCTGTGTATGGATTAACTGACAGTGGTCGAGGTTTTTGGTTGAGGCTGGACGGAGATGCCCGATCCAGTGGCTTGAAACAATCCAAGTTTTACCAGGATTGTATTTTCTTCCAGGAACCGACAAAGATTGCGTTGCACTTGTGGCGACTCATGTGGATGACATCTTGTACGCATACATTCCTGAGGGAAAGTCAGTGATCGACAGCTTCTTGGAGAAGTTCAACTTGGGATCTAGTGAATCAAATTCGTTTCGCTATTGTGGCAAGCAATTTGAGCGTACTGCAGATGGAACAATCACTCAAGACACTTGCGACAACACCCGTCGCATCAAGCCGATCAAGATCGCGCCAGGAAGATCAGCGTCCGAGCCGTTGGGTAAGGATGATGTGACCCGATTACGGTCTGTAACGGGATCCTTGGCATGGGTGGCAAGGCAGACTAGACCCGATTTGGGTTATCGTGTGAGCCGCCTACAGTCCAGTATTTCTGGAGCGACAGTTGCCATTTTGCACGACGCAAATGCCGTAGTACAGCTGGCACAACAAGGCATTGAGAACAAACTTATTTTTCCAGGTGGACATCTAACCTGGGGAGAAGTCGGTATCATCACAGTAACAGATGCTTCTTTTTCAAAGAGAAGAACTACAAATCACAACAAGGTCGTTTCCATTTTCTTGGAGACATCAATGAGATCAAAGACCCCAAGACTACATCCTATCGGGTGATGCCATTGGGATTTGCATCAAATACAATTCGGCGAGTATGCCGCAGCACTCTTCAATGCGAAGCTTATTCACTGCATGCTGGACAAGAGAGCGGTGACAAGCTACGTGGAGCATTGGCCGAGCTGATGGGCCAACTTGACTCGATGAAAACATGGTTGGATGACAGCCGCAGCTGTATTCCACAACTGATGCTTTCAGACTGCAGGTCTTTAACAGACCATCTTGCGAATGAGGTACTTGGCAGGGTCGCAGACAAACGACTCGGCATTGAGTTGCAGTCGATTCACGAGTCACTTTGGCAAGACGGCCGGAGGACCTGGGATATGCATCATGGCGGAGGAGACATTGTTACCTGGATTGCTACAGGAACTATGGTCTCAGATGCTCTGACCAAAAGTATGCGCCCGGACCTCATTATCCGCGTCTTGAAGGAGTGCATTTACCGTGTACAGAAGAAGCCTTAGAGCCAACTTTTTCACTAGCATCATGTGATCCTTGAAGAACAGGTTGAATGTGAGTTTGACCTGTCTAATGTGTATTTTGTATAGCCAAGTGATCACATGCCCCCGATGACATTTGGCTTTAGGGCCCTTGAGTCATACCGCGCTGCCGTGGTAAAAGTTGGGCACTAACGATCCCGTTTCCAATTCAGACGTAGTGTACCATTAAAGACTCTTGTTCTGGCTACTGTGTAACTGTGTAACCTCACATCCACATAGCATCCAAGCAGGAGTGGGGCCTCCATGAACCTTTTGCTTCGCCCCAAGCTGCATTTCAGGTTAGATTCAGTACCGAGAAGTTTGACCGAAATTCCTCCATCATTGACGTGGGCGCAGGGGGTTTTGGTGATACTCTGTACTTCCTGGCGCAGGAGATGCGAGTGCTAGCTGTAGATGCGAGGCCGTGCTTGCCAGCAACAGCCGTTCTTCAAACCCTGCAGATTGGGCAAGGTTTTTCAATGATTCATAGCAGGAAAAGATCCCATAGTTGTTTTCTGCTTCCCGCAAACACCTCCACCATCCTCCACCAATGATCCAACTTTGATATGACATGATACTTGTATGAGATCAGCTGGATGATAGGCCCCGGAAATGGTGCCGCATACCTTGCGAGATCATTCCGCTATAGCCGCTATATTATATGAAGATTTATGATATGTATGCAGCTTGTGGTGCGGGATGGCGAGGGGCTCACATCAGGCATAAATTCGGGCTCACTTAGGGCATAATTCTTTGAGGTTAACTTGGGGCTCACTTGGGGCATATCTGGGATCACTTGGGGGCATAAATGGACTTACTTTCAGCCAAAAGGGACCACTGTGGCCATCAAGAGAAAAGTACAACTTTATATTTTGCACTTGATGTAACAAGAGAAGAGCCACGACATCTTTAGGGTTCATATGTTCTTGCACTTAATGTAAGAAGAGCCACGACACCTTTAGGGGTTATATGTTGTTGCACTTAATGTAAGAAGAGCCACGACACCTTTAGGGTTTATATGTTGTTGCCTTTAATGTAAGAAGGGCCACGACACCTTTAGGGTTTATATGTTGTTGCACTAAAAATAAGAAGAGCCACGACACCTTCAGAGTTTATATGTTGTTGCACTTAATGTAAGAAGAGCCACGACACCTTTAGGGTTTATATGTTCTTGTACTTAATGTAAGAAGAGGCACGACACCTTTAGGGTTTATTATATGTTGTTGCACTTAATGTAAGAAGAGCCACGACACCTTTAGGGTTTATATGTTGTTGCACTTAATGTAAGAAGGGCCACGACACCTTTAGGGTTTATTATATGTTGTTGCACTTAATGTAAGAAGAGCCACGACACCTGTAGGGTTTTTATGCTGTTGCACTTAATATACGAACAGTCACGACACCTTTAGGGTTTATATGTTGTGGCACTTCATGTAAGAAGAGCCGCGACACCTTTAGGGTTTATATGTTGTTGCGCTTAATGTAAGAAGAGCCACGGCACCTTTAGGGTTTGCATGTTGTTGCAATGAATAAAAGAAGGACCACGACACCTTTAGAGTTTATATGTTGTTGCACTTAATGTAAGAAGAGCCACGACACCTTTAGGGTTTATATGTTCTTGTACTTAATGTAAGAAGAGGCACGACACCTTTAGGGTTTATTATATGTTGTTGCACTTAATGTAAGAAGAGCCACGACACCTTTAGGGTTTATATGTTGTTGCACTTAATGTAAGAAGGGCCACGACACCTTTAGGGTTTATTATATGTTGTTGCACTTAATATAAGAAGAGCCACGACACCTTTAGGGTTTGTATGTTGTTGCACTGAATATAAGAATAGCCACGACGCCTTTAGGGTTTATATGTTGTTGCACTTAATGTAAGAAGGGTCAGGACACCTTCAGGGTTTGTACCGTGAACGAAACATAACATCCAGGCACTGAATCACGCCTAGCACAGTTGCATTTAGATGCGCCGTATATTGGGTCAACTAATCAGACAATGAACTCAACGAGACACGAAGAGCCGTGACGAAAAGTTAAGGCATCACAGAATGAAGTGAACGAGACACGCCCTGCGGAGTTGCACTGTGGCACGCCGTAATATTTCCTCGCTCTTGCGCTGAGCCTTACACGGTGCCTATGTAACAACTTTACGCCCGAAGCGAGACCAAAGTTGCGCCCGAAGCGAAACCAAATTTACGCCCTAAGCGAACCTCCGCCCGTATGGGATTGGCCCTCGGATGCTTTCCCAGCAGAATGCAGAATGGATTTGTCGCATCAGGCCTTTCCTCCCACAACCCTGGATGAAGCGAGTTCCGCGAGGACGTTTGGAGCTGTTGCCACGTGCAGTTACTGCAGAAGGCGGTGGCCAAATGGTACCAGTCTTCTTGGATTTGCAGCCTTGCTGATCTTGTTGTTTGGATCGTTGTTTGATTTTTTTCCAGGTTTCAATCGGGACATACCCGGAGTGCTTCAGCGAGCAGTGCGGTGGTATGTGCATTAGAAATAATATATAATAATATAATATAATATAATATAATATATAATATATAATATATAATATAATATATGTATGTATGTATGTATGTATGTATATTTATGTATGTAGGTAAGGTAATGTAATGTTAATGTTAATGTTAATGTAATGTAATGTAATGTAATGTAATGCAATGCAATGCAATGCATGCATGCATGTATGTATGTATATGTATATATGAATATATATATATATGTGTGTGTATGCACATCGAAAGACTAGAAGAAACTGCGACTGCGGTGTGCCACTTTTCTAAGTCATAGAGTCATAACCCTAATTACATCGAATTACCCATTCTTGAAGGCTCTAGATTTAGGTTGAGCAAAACACTGCAAATCCAACCACTCATGACTTCTCCAAGGCATGGCCAAGGCCTCATGAGTTCTCTCAATGCTTCACTTGTTCCTGGGGCGCAACATCAGTTGGAGCGAGTGATGGTTCGGTCGATCAGTTGCTCAGAGATCGTTGAGAGCTGGCGCCACCCAGTGCTGTCTCCTGCCGCGCATAGAAAATATAGAAATTTGGATTTCCGCATTTTCGAAATAGATGTCCATATTAGATGGGCCAGCATTTGTTCCCCACATAGTAAAACTCGGATGGGTTTTATGCTAATTGTGATCAAGGTCTTGGGGTTGCAGGCTTTCGGCCCCCGACCTGATGTTGATATTGCGTGCCCCTTCAATGACAAAAAGCAAAACAGCTCTCAAGCCAAGGTACATGAAAGTGGACGTGGAGGGGCATGATCTCGATTGTGTTTCTTCTCTCGCAAAAGTCTCACGCCCCAGATTCTTTTCGATCGAGCTTCCAACCGCTGAGGAAGTGGCAGCACTCGCAGATGTGTTTAGAAGTAGGATTTGTATGGGTTTGGTTGTATTTTTGTCCTTTGGTAAGGGCCCGGCAGCTGGCAGAGGGCAAATGACCAGGAATGATGTTGCAATCCTTTGTTGTTTTGTCAACACCTTCATGTCTAAAGCTCTGGTTCAATTGACTGCTGTTCAAAGCTAAGGAGTTGGTGGATGCTTTGGGACGTCTTGGCTACACCCGCTCCTGACATTTGCGACGGATCCGACGATATTTGTTTTCCCATCCCAATGTTTTTCAGGTTTTTCTGGGGGCCTCAATCTCATTCCCATTCATTCTCTGAATCTGTGTTCTTTTCCCACGAAAACACTTAACTTGCGTACTTTGTTTTGAAAGAACGTGTGTGGCGCAAGGCCCATGATTTTGAAATTTGACGTTCCCTAAGGTTTCAAAATTGTGCGACAGCGGCTGTACAACCTCCGCCTTGTGAAAGGTCAGCGTTATGCAGCCTCAGGCCCCTTCGGCCACCAAGCAGTGGACTTTCTGCTGGGCCCTGGGCAGCAGGGCTGGCGCTCAGCTACCGAGATCACTATGGAAGTGCTGTGGATGGCCACCTGGGAGCGGAGAAGATTTCTGGAATGGTTTGATCTTCATGCCACTGGTGAATCGGGTGAACGGCCCTCTTGAACTGACCAGACTGCAGATTCTGGAAAGATATATATAGTTTACATAGTTGACATAGATTGGTTTCTTGGCTTGCATTTCACGAAAACCTGAAGGATCCTGAAGGATGAGAAGGCCAATTTCATCCCAATTTCCTTGGCGGCAACGTGACCTTCGCATTTTCAGCGTTCAGTTCAACTAGAGAGGTGCAGAGTCTGGAGATAGTCTAGCCAGCATTCAGAGATGCCAGATGAAACAATCCACCGAGCAGGTGAATGAGGAAGAGAGAGAGAGAGAGAGCTCTCAGAGTCGGCCTCGTTGCATGCATTTTGCTCATAGATCTCATAGTGCTCATAGAATGATGACGAACCTCTCCGGCAACCGCGCGGTCTTCCAGACAGATCCAGACAGTTTCACTACATGCCCGCCATCTCTCTGAAGCAGCGTGGTGGATACCTGAAAGGTCCTCGCCGCAAAGACTAGCCAGCAGCAGAAATGATTGAACACTCATTGAACATGAGTTCAATAACTGCATGGACAAGCCTGCACTGCATGTTGTTTTGCTTTATTTCCAAGCAACTCCTTCCAACACTAGCTACCAGCAACCATTATCAACCATTCAGCCACGCATTGCTGGAGATGTTTGGAGTGACATGCCAGGAATCAGCCAGCCTGCCAGACATGAGATGCTCTACTTGGATTCGTTGGAGCGGGCGCAGCGGTTGAAGGTGCCTAAAATGATGGTGTTTGGTCCTTGGATCTGGGAACATTGGGAGAGGATATGGAGAGGATCAAAGATGGAGATTGCATGAGATTGCCAATGTTTGTGCTGGTGACAATGTAGCGGTCATTGCAACCACGTGGCATGAGCACGGAGGGTAGATGCGTCAAAACAAGAAGAGGTCAGTAGCGGTCGGTGATGTGTTTCTTTTTGCCAGCTGTAAGCTTGGTCATTCTCCAGAGTTTTCCTCAGACTGGGCATTGGACCGAGAGGAAGGAGGTCGTTTCACAAAGGTGATTGATGAGCAGTCAAATGACGAGACATTGGTGGATGTCAAGTGTGTTATGCCATGCGGGAAAGGTTTTGTTTTCATGTTTGTTGTATCCATCCATCATCCATGCATCGATTGCATCCAACGCAGTCAAAGATCGCAGCTGCCGAACATTCGTTTGGGGTGCTACGATGCCAGGAAGCGCAGTCAGTGCGATGGGGTGTGGATGAGCAGAACCCGGGCTGAGAGGGGGGCAGGGACCTTGGAACCTGTCATACGCTGCAAGAACAACTTGAACAACTTGAGGATCTTAAGGAAGTGGACAGAGCGTGAGGCGGGTGTTGGCACAGCCTGACGAACAGGATAAGGACTAGTGACTAGTGACTGGAAAGGTGTTGGTCATAATCCGGGGATTCATGTTGGCTAGGGGGGTTCAGGATACTAGTAGGGGAAGGCTCTCCTTGACTCTCGTAATTCAGTTCCATGTCCTCAGAACATGGCTGGGCGGACGTCAAACTGGCATTGAAAGATTGGATATATACAATATGACAATATTATACAATTATATAATAGTGTCATATAGTGTCAGTTGAGCCAGGATTGGCATCGCTGAACCCACATCTCTATAGTTCTTTATATTCGTTTATGTTCTTTTTGTGTGAGAGGTCACTGGGATTGCTCGGTGTGCCAAGAGTGGGGCCACAATCACAAGTGAGCCTAGGAAAGTCCTAGGGGAGAAAGAGCATGCTGAACTGTTTCTTCAGCTTTACAATGATGCTCAAAGGCGTGGGACCCTGAAGAGGGATGTTTGCACCCATTCCTTTTGACCATGTCGTATGTCGTCGTATGCCCATGTATGCCCACTATCCCCATCCTTTGGTCAATGTCCTGATTTGGACAGACTTTTCTATCGGCGTCAGCGGTTAGGATGCATTTGATGTCCTGTGTTCATGTTATGGGTCAAAAGTTACACGATCAGTCTATTTTTGGTTCATCGTATGACAAGAATGCAATGCAGTACAGCGCAATGTAACGTAGAGTGTACGTCGTAGTTTTAGACTAACATCATTGTTGCTATATGTTCTTTCTTGTTGGATGGTTTTACCAGTTTGGTTATTTTGATTGACCGATTGGCCATGGCCACTCTTGGCATCCATGGCTTCCCAGGCGTGCCGAATCCCTAAAGCTTCGTCGGCATTGCCTGGAAAAGCAGCAGGCCCAAGCGGAAGTATGAGGCGTATGAGGATCATCCTTGATGGTGCCCTCGGTAGATGTTGGCACTACGTGGTTTGAAGACGTTTGAAGTGGAAAGAGGGCCAACTTGGTTTAGATTGCAGGCTATGTCTAGGAATTGCCGGAAGCAATAAACAATGACAGCATTTCCCCCATTTCCAAGTCAAATTCGACTGGCTGTTGGGACGCTTGCCCGAGGTGCATACACAAACTGTGCTACTTTCCCAGCTTAATTTGGTGTGATAGCCACAACAGACCCAAAGTCGTCGCCATGGCAGCCATTTGGGGTTGGTATGGCAGCTTCGCCCCACACCAGGCATCCGAGCTAGAAGCTCAATCGGTACATGCAGCAGCGAAGCAGAGTATCTTGACCCCACTAACTTGGCCTAACGACTTGCGGATTTTAGGTACCACCGGGAATGGATGATGGTTGGAGATGACCCAAACAGTTGCCAAAATGATGTTGGAATGGACGGCATGGGTCTTTTTGACCATGCCTGATTGGTGCCAACGGCTTTTGCATCTGCAAGTTGAAAGCTCTTGCAGAGACACAGGCTTAGCAACAAGGGGAGAAAGATGCCAAAATGCAAGCGTTGGCTCCCAACTGGTGGTAATCAGTGACGTCCATCAGTAGCATGGAGTTTTGCCAAATGAATGCAGGTGGAAACTTGAGTGTTCGATTCTTTTTGCTTTTTGATGGTGCTGTGATGGAACACCATGGCCATCCATAACCATTTCGAAGCTACGCTCGAAGATGCTCGAAGGTAAAGCCTGGACAGCCAAGCAGCAGCAAGAAGCCATTGAGCGAATCGCGCACCCTCTGCAGTCCCTTGGCTGAAGGCTTTCAGGTTGGATCTATCCTCTCATTCTTGGATTCTATGCGCAAGTGATGCACCCTCGCTGTCGAACAGATGTTCCATCCAAGACTATGGCTTCTCTGGGTTTTCCCTGCTTTTCCCAAATACCTCAATTTGTCCAGCCAGACTCACACGCAAATGAGGTCTGGACAAAGTACGCCCCGCAGACCGCATTCTGCGCCACCCAGAAGAGCGAGTCCACAGGCACTGCAGTGGGATGGCATCATGACCATTCATGACCGACATTCTGAGCATCTGCAAGAATTTTCTGGATGGAGGAACTCGGAGGAATTGCTGTCCTTTGGGAGCCTGGCAGCCTGACCATGCCAGGCCGCCATGAAACTTCAAAAGCAAGAGCAGCTGCCTGGGAAGCAAGGCACCAGGGCACGTGCTTGGATTTTCAGATTTTTCAGGAGCCGGTCTATCAGCACCAAAGGACTTGTAAGATCTTGTAAGATCTTGTAAGATCTTGTAAATTGTTGAAGTCATATGAACTTGTTGAAGTCATTAGGTCCAAAAGAATGCAAGACTTGTTTTGCCTCTGAAGCGTTCTACGCGGACCGTGGGCACGACTCCCAGGTCAGACCTGTCCTAAGGCAAAGCAGGAAGCTGCAGCGTGCGGTGCAAAGACACCTAAACCGTCCTTCGGCGAAGTGTTGCTTACTGATGCCAACGGCCAACCAAACTCGGCAATGAGAATGCAATGGGGCTGGTCTTGATATGACAAGATACAAGAAGGGGAAGTTGACGAATGTTGACGCATAGCAGGCATAGCATCTTCCAGCGTTTTCGCTCTCATGTCTGGACCAAGCTGCAGGCAGCAAACCGCCACGCCCAGCAGAGAGGCGGTCCAGCATCTTTGTGAACTCAGTTCCCCAGTGGGATTCCAAGTGGGCAACTGTGGTAGACTGCCACAAAATGCCACAGATTCACATATATATATATATATACATATAAATTCCATTTGTCAATTTTGTCATTATCAGTGGTGTCCAGCTGACCTAATGTTCATCACATGTTGAAGGATCCAGCTGAGTTCTGCTTGATTGGAGATCTTGGATGGCATCCAACGGCCCAGCACTCCAGGAAGCGCACCCACAAGCGCAAGCGGCTGCTAGAGGAAGTAGCGTGGGACAAGGCTCGGCAGCCAGCATTGCATCAGGGCAAACATCAGCTTGCATCAGCCAATTGCATGGAGCAAGAGAAGATACTTTAAACTTTTAAACTGTGCAACTGGGAATTCAGTGCTTCGATTTATGCCCTTTTCGCTGTGGCACTTCCTGCCGTTGACTCATGCCGATGCATTCAGGTAAAGACAGAGATGCAAAGCAAGGAGACCACGCAAGCGAGACATGCGAAGCGGGAAGAAAGTCGAAGCCGACGCTGGGTTGCACACTGCAGGCCCTTGCATGATGACCAAAGTAGCAAATGTAAGCACATTTGTCAAAGCTAATGTGTTCGATACAGTACTAACTCCCAAGAAGTTGAAGTTCTCTGATAATGGGGTGCTGCTGAGGGAGCAATCGTGGCACTTGCCCATGCAAATTGTTATCAGCAGTGCAGACTTCATAAAGTTAAAGTTAGCGGACATCACTGGGGCACTCCCCAGAGGTGTGTGCAGGAAGAAGTTCAAGTGTTCTACTATCGATCATTTGATCATATGATGGTTCGCCTTTGAACATTTGAGTTTTCCGCTTCCGGGTTGGTCACCCAGTCAGAGTCTGTTGCAGTACCTAGGGGTAATCAAAAGTTGTGCCTTGGTGGTGCGGGAAGTTTTCACGATCAGTTGCTCAGAGGGACCCTTTTCTGCTGCTAGCACGTCACAAAGAACAAACATGAATACACTCAGTTCTTGATTTCAGTCTTTATGGTTCGTCTTTCTCTTCATACCGAGCCACCCCGATGACTAGTTCCATTTCTACAGGGCGGCAACGAGGTTCAGACCCACAACTCCACGCTCTTCACATTCCACACCTGGGCCAAGCACGCTGAGCACACAGGTGCACCATGTTGCCAGATCTCCATGGGTATCAGTGTGGTTCTATGTTTTAGTTGGATGATTTGGATGTAACCCGGTAACCCATTCCATGTCTTTCTTGTTGAGTTGGGGTAAAGCTGGGTACCCCTCGAGTTTCCTTTGATGGTCCCCTCGACAAGCGTTGGACCCCACGGTGTGCCCAGGTGCAAGCTGTAGCAGGGCCAAGCCCTCGTGAAGCTGCTTGTTCCAGGCAAGTCTGACTGAGTCTGACTGCTCAGAAGATTGAGGAAGCAATGATGATGCATGATGATGCAATGTAATTGTCTACCTATGTCTACCTACTTACTATACGGATAGATACTTAGGATAGGATAGGATTGGACAGGAAGCACAGAACAGAATAGAATAGAATGGAATACATAGATACAATTAGATACATAGATAGTCATAGATAATCATAGATAAACATAGATAATCATAGGTAATTATAGATAGTTATGTCATAGATAATCATAGATAAACATCGATAATCATAGGTAATCATAGATAGTTATAGATGATCATAGATACATAGATCGGTCGATCGATAGATACTAAGATAGATGTCTTTGATTTGTGTTCATGCAGTGTCCATAATCCCCGATAATCCCCATGGAATTTAAGGGCAGTGCAGACTTTGCAAAGGAGATAGCTCTGTGCGAAGTGCAATTGCACCCTGAGGGCCTAGGAAGCCTGGCAAACGAGAATCCAACGGCCACATACCACACTTCTGCGAACAGGTCAAGACAGCCAGCAAGAGCTCCCAGCTCCAAGGCGGGCACAAACCGGGCCATGAAGATGAATGATGGTAGATGATGGTAGCATATTAGATCATATTAGTCACATTACATTAGTATACATTAGTAGCATTTAATATGGACACCTTGGTGCCTTGGTGTGGCTGAGCCTTCCAAGAAGGGAGAGCTGTCAGATTTCATAGTACAAAGCTGTTTGTTTGAGGCGTGGTGAGGTGACCCGGACCACTGTCCCCCTGTTAGGGGACGAAGCAGCCACAAAGCTCCAAGAAGGCCAGGGAGGTCGAGGGTATGACTTTCAGTTCAGATGGCCATCGAGTCACGGTACTCGTAGTTGCTCCATGATCCATGCAGATTCGTATCAGTTATATAAAGATTCTGGTGGTGTGATGCTTGTTTTTGCCGAAAAAGTTGTGAGGCGGAAAGTGTAGCACCTACAGAAGCTGTAGACAGACAGACCGCAAAAGGCCCAGAGGCGCTGGGGAGGGCTGGAGGGGATGGAGCGGCATGGCCATGCCTCGGTGAATTCGCTCGTACCTGCCCTGGTTAGGAGACAGCTACGCCGAAGCCACCATTCCGGCCGCCGGGACGGATAGCTGCAACCGACTTGGCAGACGGGAGGAAAAGCTGTTTGCGTGGGTTTGATGATGCCAACGGCGCTTCGGTAAACAGAAAAAACTCAGCCTGCACGGCACACAGCAGGGATTCGGTCATCCGGTTGCTCACAAAATCCGTCAGACTGGTTCGATCCATGCATGATACACACAGTTCGCCTTGAGCCTTGTTCAAGGAGTGGCCACATGGATCAAGCTATGTGCTCTTGGGGAATCAAGCACAACAATTGACAACAGCGAGCTAGCCGCTAGCCATGGACATCAAGAAAGCTTTGGTGCCCGGTGATAATTAGTAAATAGTCTTCTTAAACACACAGTGGAAGAGCCCAGGCACTCACAGGGGGACAAGGCCCTGGGCCCACCCATGCCCATCCCAAACTAGTTTTGAGCTGGAGTCTGTGTATGCCTTTTCCCTTAGCAAGTCTATCAAAGGAAACTGGCAAAAAGCCTACTGACCAGTCTCAGCTGTTGCATTTGGCACGGAATCGCCTTGCAGTCCATGGCGCTCGCCAAGATTCGTCCAGTGCTGGGGTTGCAGCCGGAGGAGGCTTCGGGAGACTGCCCCGAAAAAGCTCCGGCTTCAAAGGCTGCTGACTCTGCCCAGTTCAAGAACATCCTTTCGGTGGCCGTCTCTCAGGAAGCGGTTGTGCCAGAGCCAGATTGTGCCAAGTTGGGTAGTTTGGCTCGTGGGCGATACCATAACATATGAGTGTCATTCTTGCGCGAAGATTTGCATTGGACGAGATGCCCCAAAAAAACAGCATGGTGGGAAGTAGTGGCGGGAAAGCTTGGCCTGAGAGGCACAGACTCTTCAGTCCAATCTTGGTGGTTGCATGTTCATGCATTTTCAAGTTCTGGATGTTTCTGCCTCTGTCGTGGTCATCCAAATTGCCAGCACCAGCCATTGAGCACTCAAAAAATGTCTAAGTATCCTCAAGTCCAGCATGGCCATTGCACGCAGGAACAACGCCTGGGTCAACATGGTGCAGTGCGACGAGGGGCAGGGTATGACATGTCAGATCCATTTATGGTGGCGACATCAGAGATGGACTTTGCAGGTGGTGGTAAGCGCCGCTGGAGCTGAAGTAGTGTTGTGGTCAGAATGTTTGCACCATTTTGTTTCAGCACTGGAAGGGCCAAACTTCTGCCAGAAACATCCAAAACATGTCCAGATAGCAGGATAAAAGTGTATCAGGTTCAGGTAAACTCAGAGGCGCCACAGGTTTGTGTCCGGCTCCGATGATGAAGGAAAGCCCCTGGAATTTGTCCAGCTCAACGTCAGCGGCCTGCCTTGTCAGGCCCATGGGATGGGTTTGACTGACGTGCGTGGATGGTTTTGGGATGTCTTGGGGGCGGGGGGATGGGCAGAAAATACATAGTATACATATCCCCCCCTTTAACCCTGGAATATTTGGGGGCGGGTATGACAAGAAAATTCTCAGAAATATTTCACCTGACCACATGAAATATACCCCCCGCCACATGTTTTTTGGCCTTCCAAAAGAAGTTGAGGGGGGGTCCTCCGGATGCCACATTTTAGCCCAGAGATGGTATGGCACACCCTTTCATTTTCGACGTACGTATATACATACATACATACATACATACATACATACATACATACATACATACATACATACATACATACATACATACACACACACATACATACATACATACATACATATATGTATATACATACATGCATGCATTCAACCAGGCCCTGGAGAGACCATTATAAACCATATTTATTTTGCTGAAATATTTCTAGGTGTGGGGGGGGGACACACACACCCTTTTTGAAATATTTCAGTTTTTACCCCCCAACCATCACGAATTTATTTTCCAAGAACCTGCGCATAGAGTAGGAGCACGACTCAACACATAGCTGCTATAGATGCAAGAGTTTGTATGATGCCTTGCTATCACCTGCCCCCAATTTAAGCGACAAACGAACACTTGTCAGCGTGAGGGCAGTGCAAAAAACCATTGCTAGTAACGAGTTGCGATGGGTTCCAACCAGGTTCCAGTTCAGTGATAGCCTCACCAAAATTGCTCCACAGTTGCGTGAAACTTTTCGGTTGTGGCTTCAATCACCAACAGCCATTTTGCGGGAGCAAGAGCAAAGTGTCAAAGAAAGAATCATCCTCCCACTGCTGTTTCCAAGAGTTGACACTTTGCATGTTCCTGTAATCACTTTGGGCTGAAGGGCCTTTGAGTACATTCACACTTTCGTGCCACGCTTCGCTGTGAAAATGTCTGCTGACGCGTGATTCTTGCATCAAGATTGACTTTTACGAGACTAATTAAGCTGTCTTAGTTACAGCCCGTAGTCTAATTAATGTAGACAATATCCGCATGTGGTTGAGAAGAGCCGACAGAGTTATAGAAACGCATACGTCCGCTTTGACTAGGAAGGTGTATGCACATGCAGCGATATCAAAGAGTCTGGCAGGTCATTGGTGAGGCATCAGTGGTGGCGGCCTATTTGGGCATGGTGAAAGATGAGTCCAACAAGGTCAAGAAACCACAGGACACCGCTCGAGATCACTGAAGGTGGCGGCATAGAGAAAACATGGCGGAACCAAAAGCAACGGAGAGAAAACACCTTGCTGATTCTGAGAAACAGCATTCTGAGGCTCGTAAATGCCTGGGTTTTTCCAATTGGTTCTTGAAGGCGGCATCATGTGGCTCGCAAAGTGTGAGCCAATGTGAGCCCCACTTCCCACTGGTTAGTTGGAGATAACATCACCGCAGAGCTTGAGGAGTGCTGGATGCGTTTCCCGGACGGAACAGTGAAGAAACTCCTCCGCAGCCGGCTGCTGCCACTGCCAACCCAACTTCCAAGACTGAACGACTGGGCCGTGGTGGTGGATCCTCGAAAGGCAAAGGCGTCATCTTAAGTGACTCCATATGACATATGAGGTTTCTTTGGTCATGGGGGATCCCCAAGCTACCATGGTTGTTTCAATACTAAAATAACCAGAAAATAAAACAGTCTAAGTGTGGATAATTTGGGGGTCCAAACCATTAGAAAACCTTCTAACATGCATCCTCCTGGTTTCCAGCCCAGTGGCTGCCATCGCTGGCCAAGGACCTTCACGGAGAACTGGAAAGATACAACGGCTTCCGCGGTCTGTGTGGCCTAAATGCGGGGCAGGAGCTCAGGGTCAGAATGTTGAAAGTCACAGGGAACTATATAGCTGTAAATTGTTTGTTTGTGCCTTTTAGGATGTTCAGCTTTGTGTCCTCAGTGAATGAGGTGCTTTTTGAGCGATTTTATGTTTTTCGAGCACAGTCACCACAGTGGCATCAATTTAATTGCGTGCTGAATTTGCTGAATTCCAGGATGCGTTTTGGGTGCTGTTTGAGCCGAATGCGGGTGGCAACAAGAGCCCCAAGCCGCCACTGGAGATGATCCCGAGAAAGAACTTGGTCGCTTTGCCAACTTCCCCGCATGGTGCTTTGGAGACCCAATGGGAGGCCAATATGCCCAGACATTGGGGTGCATTACGGTGCATGTTTATGTTGAGCACTGAATCATGACCCATCAAGGCCGAATTTTATGTCAAACATATCGGGTCCAATACGGGTCCAATAGATATCTGATATCCTGGCTGGCCATGTTCGGAAGCACGCTGTCCACTTTATTTCAGTTGTGCAGTTGTGTTGCCCAAATTTGAGCCATTGCAGAGTCATGTCGCAGGCGAAGCTCAGAGCATTGCCCAGCATTGGGCATCTGGTGGATGATCCTGGTCAGCCTGGTCAGCTTGAGGCTTTGAAAGACAAAGACGACGAGGCACTCGGGCCTGGGAAGCTGGTCCCGTGGGTAGAGTTGATTTTTACTCAGCAACAGCAGTGGCCACTGGGCCCAGTCAGCTTTGCCGCTGTGGAGCACCTATGCAGATTGAACAAAGGATAGTATAACATTGGACAGGATATGAAAGAACACAGTATCCTAAAAAATATCAACGATGGCACAGACAGGTCAGATCAGCAACATGACACAATGGGCATGACCGGACAGACAACACATGATCAGAGGTAAGATGCGACGGCTGCAATGTAGGGAAGGTCCAAAGGCAAGATCATGGGAGCAAGATGGCGCAAGATGTTGGGTTCAGTTGCTTGTTCTTCAATTGGCTCATTCGGCGCCAAGCTGCGCAATTTGACAGGAGAACGAAGACGAGGCCTGAGCAGCTGCAAGCAATGGGGCATATTACTTTTGCACGCACAGAGACGGTAAGAGTGAGGCTAGTAAGCAGATGCTTTTGCACTTATGGACAGCACGAGATAAAAAGCTGCCTACAATGCATCAAATCCATTCAAATCCCACACGCCACAAACATCTACAAGCCCTTTGATCTTTGTCCTCTGGACCATTGGTGAGGGTGCAATTTGATATGTTATCTCGAAGATTCTGGTCAGCTCCAGCTGAGGAAGCGTTCACAGAGGAAGAAGGGGAGGAGGAGCGACCTGAAGTAGGCGACCTGGTGACCCTGCTGCCAGACAACAAGCAGATGGGTATACTGAAGGCACTGGAAGGAACGCGGGCAGAGGCTCTCGGGCATCCGGGTTGTGACTTCAAACATGCTAGTGTCATACACAGATTGCATGACGTAAGCGCCCACCTGAAGAAGTCTGGGAAGACATTGTCACATGGAGTTGCTCTACTGTCGTACCCTATCTTAGTGCTTTGACGGCTGCGTGGTGTTGGGTGTTTGAGCCTTCAGCCTTGCTAAAGCACCAGTGCCATGTACATAGCATTCCAGCGTGGTCAGCGTGGTTGAATGTTCAGTTTGCAATGCAGCACACATGCAGAAATCAATAGAGTCATTTGGACACAAAAATCCAGATCTGCAGGCTCATTTATTAGGTTGTATTGATTCAAAATTGTTCAGAGAATGCAAAGACCCATCGAGCTGCTCGATTCAGGTCAAGCTTCTACCCAGCATGGCGCCAGATTCCCTTTTTGCTCCTCGTGTTGACGGTTGCGCTTTGTCGCTGCTGACCAAAAGCACCCAGGAAGAAGCAGAGGAAGTAGCCCTGTGCAACATTTGCGATGAGGCGAGGTCTGCCTCGGGCTTCCAATGGTGGGGCTTTTATTTTGTCCCCTAGAAGGTCAGAGACTGCAACATCAATGCTTGCGACTACCGTATGCCTGTGCCATGGGCTGAGAAACAAGCCGCTAAGTTCGCTGTCGATCGTAGATAGATTATATGTGTATATATAAGATTAAATGATATATTAGATAATATGGTATGTGCATGTATGTGCATAGAATGGGGGAGAGAGGGAGGGGGAGAGAGAGAGAGAGAGCGCATGTTCATCACTTGCACAAACGTGTGCTCACAGAACTCTTTCAGCAAATTCATGTAGATTCTAGCACCCCACCATGCAGGCAAATCCAGAAGAAGATGCTTGCAAAGCAATTTCAGCACAGCTCAAAATATCAGGGCGGACTGCCAGGGAAGTTTGGCTCGTTTGTGCCTGATGTATCCTAATGTTCCCATCCAATTTTTTCGGTGAGCTTGCAAAATTGAAGATTGATCCACGAATTATGCCCACATAATGTGATCAACACAGCCGCCTGGTGGACAAGACACACATCAGACCTTGGCAAATGATCCCTGGCCGATTGATGTCAATTGCTTGGTTTATCTTGCCTTGCCAAACTAAGGAGTTGCTGATTTGCGATAATTTTTGCAAATCTTGCGCCAGCACCATCCACATCAAGTGTCTGGATCCGCCTTTGCAGAAGGCCGGGCTCAGGGCCAAGGCGGTGAAGGGGGAGGGGGTCCAACTCCAGAGCAGGAAGTAGAAGTGGCAGTTCCAGCCAGCTCTCACACAGTCTGGTTGCTTGGGTTATAATCAAACAAGCGCTCTGGCTTAATCCCACCACACTCATGTTGCAGTCCAAATGTGAATGTGATCCACTATTTCACTATTTGCTGTTTGACAGTTGCTCTTGCAGACTTCGGTTTTGAATAGTTCTCCAATGTTGTTATTTTATTACGGGGACGGTGGCGTTTTTCTGCTTCTTTGGCCACCTCAACAACTGGGTTGCTGCATGTTGCTGCTCACTCCTGACCCTTGATGCCCTTGTCACCCTTGTCCGCAGGTTCCCGAGGGAGATTGGTTCTGTCCAGTATGCCTTCCCAGAGAGAAGCGGAAAGCCAAAGCAAAGGCGGAGCCAAAGTCCAAGGCAGAAGCGAAAATGAAAGCGAAGGCCAAAGCTGCTGCCAGTGAGCTGGGTTGTAGGACGTTGCAACTTGCAAAGCTGATTCCAACACCATTGGTAAATGATGGTAAATGTGTTATGCGTGTGGTCACTAGTGTAAAAAGCGAACATATCTTAATCTCGTTCGCTGCATCGCGTTTGTTTGAAGATGTTTTGAGCAGTGTGGCAATCGCAGTTGCATCTGCCAATGTGGAGAGTGTTCAGAATTATGAAAAGCAGACAGGTGACTCACAGCCCAAAGCCTCAGGCAAAGGCGAAGGTGAAGCCTGCAGCAAAAGCCAAAACGAAAGCAAAGGCAGTGAAGGCCTCCATCGCCAAGCTCGGCAAAGCATAGTGCAGTGCAGATAGATGCAGATAGTGCAGTGGGCCCGCGTCGTGCTGCCCAACCTGCTATTTAGATCTATTCAGCTCGAATGGAAAAAAAGTCCGAGGTAGTGGAGGATTTCGGAGGGTCTGTGAAAAATCTCCAGTGTCAGATGATGAGATCCTTCTCATGATCTTGCTGATTTTTCGAGGTGGGATGTGCCTGGGTGACCTCTTGGCCGCTAGGGAGGCCGAAGCAGTTTGGCCCTGAGTGGTGCTTTTGTTCGATCGGGTTGAGCATGAAATAGCATGAATAATATATGAATTCATTGCGATTCCCTCAGCATGAGGCAAGACTCAAGACCAGTGTTCTTTCTTGACTCTTGACCATGCGAATTCCCTGAGCAGCATCCAGCTGCTTCCTTAGCTGTTGCTTCCCTGGTGTCACAATATCATCTCCCGCTGGTCCTGGGTCATATGCCCACACTTGTCAGTTTCCATCATCCTTTTGTTTGTAAGACCACATTGTTGTCGCATATATGATCAGTTGCGTACAGTTTTATATGTATGTATGTGTGTGTAAGATGTATGTACTTGTGCTATCTTGTACTTGCTTAAAGCCCCAGTGTTGTTGGCAATACCAACTCATATTAGCAATATATATATATATCCCTGTTGTGATGTCCCTCATCAGGGGCACCGGTCGAGGTGCCTCTGCTGGATTTGGAGTTGCAGCCCCAGATTTGACTGCCAGGGTTATAGAGCTTCCAGGATCCGTGCACTTTCAAAGGCGATTAATCATGGTTGATCATGGTTGATCTATGTTAATCTCAATAACCCAGGCTAGTCGAATGTTAGAAAGCCCCTCTATGCAGCTGGTCTTGTCCCCGTCTTTAAGTTGGCAGTGGGCGGGAATCGTAGTAACATAATATGCCGCGCAGTTGGTTGCGCAGCTCTTGATCCATCTCCACACTAGGAAACCCTCCAGAAAAAAAAAACATCAGACTGACAGCCAGGGGGTGAACTGACCACTGCCCAAATGTGCAATACGGATATCTCATATTATCTCAGCCATTCAGGCTGAGAAAGTGCTGCCTGAACTCTGAAGGCATTTTGAGCCTCTGGCAGCAGGCACAGGCTGAGACCTTGAAATTGAGTTTCGATAGTTTCAGACTGTCTGAACTTCAAAGCTCGAAATGGAGGGGCCCTGGTTGAGATTCTCATTGCAAGAGGTTCTAAGTAGAAATCATGCGCATGCTTCGCTGTATTTTTCAGCCTCTCTCCATTACATTATTTTACTACATGTCTTAATCGGGATTTGGGTGGAATGTCGGATGTAGAGGTGTGAAGACTTGAAGAGTGAGTCGCATTGATGTCTATATTTGCCCCTTGCAGCTTAGAAGCCCCCAAAAGGACACTTGTTTGAAAATGGGGTGATGGGGTGCCCTCCACGCTTACACATGATTGCAAATGAAAATTATGCAAATGACAAGGGTTGGGCTTGAATTTGTAATAATTTGTATATATAATTTGTTCTCCTTTGCTTTCTTTCAACGCAGATACTGCCAGATCGTGCGAGGGTCAGAAGGCAGCTGGCTGCGTTGCTGCCACCACGGCAATAGTGAAGTCCATGCAGTTGGAACATCACAGAGTTGTGCTGAGACACACAAGAATGCTACACGTGTCAGTATAGTGAATGCTTTTATGTCAAGGCCAAAGCTTGATCAGACAAGATAGTTCCAGGAATGAATCAGGCGAAAAGCAGCAAGACTGCTCTACATGCGTTTCGCAACATTTGAGATGACGAAAGTCCAATTGAGCGTTTGTTCCTGTAGCTTCAAAACACTACCAGCCTAGCATTAGCAAAGGATGTGCCAAATGGAGGTGCAATGTTGATCAACTTTGCATGCCAGGCTGAACCTTGCAGACAACGGTTTGGACGCAGCTACTGTGAAGGTTACTTGCAGGGGGTGCAGAAATTTGCTGTACTTTGATGGTGCACCACTTTGGTTGCTATCTATCCATGTTTTGTGCATGTTCGTGGTCAGTTTGCAGAAATATAGGGATTCCAGCCATATGAATAATGTTAGTATAGCATCCCCGGGGCATCTACACAGATGTACAGCCTTTCAAGATATGCTTTGCCACGGGCCAATGATGCTTTGAGCGATTGCCTTAATAGGTTAGTTGAACTTGCGGGCGGTTGGTGATTAGTGGCCCTCTCTGGAACATGCACTGTGCCGTCTCTTGGGCCTGCGCTGTGGTGCTTGCCTCACAAGGCTATGTTGGACATTGCGGTGGACGCTGGCGGCGCCTCTTTTCTGGATGAGCATCTTGCCTGCAATGGCATGTTTTCGCAAGCGGTCAAGCTTGTCTCGTTGTCATCATGATTTGTAACTGACATGATGCTGACATGTAGAAACATGCTGTTGTACAGGCACATGCTCCCCAAGGACATACCAAGACGAATGACATGCTCGTAAGTTTAATGTGCGCTATCGGCTGCCAATTGGGAAGAGATAGATAATTAGCTGAACTTGCAGACTAAATATGCCAAGTGTATCATTTAAGTTTCTACTTACTTTATAGTGCCCTAGGGGAGATTAACCAATCCATGACTCCATAGGTTGCAGCTCCTTCCTAATCCATGCGGCAATGGCCCACAGGGCTAGGGACCTGGGCGCCACGGAGGGTACAGCGGGCAGAGAGACAGTGCGCTGAAGATCTGCCAATGTCATTCTTGAGCCGACGGTGATTCGGAGAACATTCTTTGATTAGGAAAGGTGGAAAGCCAATGAAAACCAGAGTCACTCTTGCAAATCATCAGAGTCACTTTTGCAAATCCTATACCAACCACTCAACTGCTTCCCAAAGTCAAAAATGTTGACGCAGTGTTCGGAGCTGGCTAGGCCGTAGGCCGGAGATACGCAGCCAGACGATGGCCCTATTTTGCCGCCAAGGTGCATCACCGGCTGTGTCCAAGCTTTTTCAACACTTGGCACCATGGCAGCTTGGCCAATTTGGGTGGATGCTGTCGGATGCCTTCAGCAAGCTGCATGTCAATCAATGTAGGTGTAAATGATTGTAAATGTAAATGGTTCAAATTTGGAGGCTTCTGGATGTTGACGGGTATACAATGAAGTCGATCAACAGTTTGAAGATGTTTGAACCACCGCCACTTGGCTGGTTTACCCGAAGCCCCCACCATGGTTGGCAGAAATGCCCCCCGATCTGAGGAAATCCATGGTGCTGCAAGCCCCAGAGGCACGGAAATCGACATGATTCGACATGTCTCAGAAAGACTGTAAAAATTGAAACCAAAGAGACGAGAATCCAAAAAATTAGATTAAGGAAATTGTCTCCTCAGCTATGGATAGATGGCTTGGATAGATGGCTTGACTGCTTCACATCCCCGGCAGATGTCAACCTTGGGTGAGCTCATGAACTTCTTGGGCACCACTGGGGCGGCACACAGCTTCTTCGTCAAGGGCTTAGATCCCAATGTTTCATGTTTAAGGGCTCCAAAGTATGACAATGTTTGACAGGCGTGTCAAAGAGCATAAATCCTCTGGCTATCTCCAAGATTCAAATCAGGAGAAATTGATGCGGTAGCACCCCCACGCGCGATCCATGGGGGAATTCCTTGGGCTGCAGCCTTTTCACGACATTCACGCAATGTTTCCTGCCCCGCGGCCAAGGAAGGAAACGACAGCAGGGGCCCCAGTGGCGAAGGCAGTGCTTGCGAGATGAAACTGCAGCCAGACATGTGTAGACATTGACCGAGGTAGCTAAGGTAGCTGGGATGTGTTCCCCTTATTTGAGCAAAGCCGCCCTGTATCATGAATCTATGATAATCTAATATCATCTATGTCTGAACTGAAGTTTGTGGAGGGTTTTCTTCATCACAAAAGCTAGCTTCTGCTAGCTGAAGTCCCTTTTGCTTTAGCAAGGTATTGGGGGGCTGGAATCTCCAATCGCATGTCGCATGAGACTTCATGCTTAACTACCCCCCCTTGCCCCCGGCTGGCTGGTTCACAAGCAGTTTGCCGTGGCTCAATCCCCCCCGTGGACACCGCCGGCATGTCGATTCAGCATCCTCAGCATCATTGTGTTTGCATGTCAAGCTCCCTGCCAAGCTAGCTGGCTTTCGTCCCTTATTCCTGGGCCTCAAGTTGTTCTCGACTTTGATTACCATCGCCACCCCTGTTACATAATGTTCCATGTTCATCATATTTCATCATGTTTTATGATGTTTTATGTAACTTTATTATATTTTATTATATTTTATTTGGATTTATTTGGTTTGCTAATTGATTGGGGCATTATTCACTATGGTGGCGCCGCTATAGGACAGCCGATGATAAGGTCAAGTGGCACCTCGAGTTCCTGATGACCAGGAGCCTGGAACTTGTGGGATGTTCAGCATGAAAAGTGTGGAAAGTCCGGGGTCACCAGCAAGTCAAGCAGGACGAATGAATATGCGAAAGAGGAAGTCATGAAACATTGGTATAAGATGGTGTAAGCAGAGTTGCATATGTTAAGAAATGTTAAGAAAATTGTATGTGAATGTTTGTCTGGAAGCCAATGCGATGCAGCATGCAAAAAGCACCCCAACAATATCCAACAACAAGCTGTAGCTAAGCTGTAGCTAGCTGATGTCCCCACATATTTGTGCAATGGGTCTCCAGCTGCTGGGCACTCAGCCCTCACCCCCGAGGTTTGTGGTGTCCATGCAATCTCTCCACGTTCTGCTGGGCAGTCAGCTTTGGGGGAGGCTTTTCTCTTCTCGATGCACATTCTCGATGCACATCAATTAGATTTATAATTATTTTTACAATATGATTTAACTACGTAGTGCCAATGCCATTGAAACGTTGCTCACATACTGAAACTGGCACTGCAGCTTGGTAATGGCTGGTGAGTTTTGCCTTCCATCACCCAATCTCGAGGCCAAATCAATGGAATGTCCTGAAAGATGCCCTGCTGGCAGCCACTGCACCACCCACGACAGGGAGCTCAGCATGTGATGTG